TTCTGTTTGCAGGGAGGTGGCGCCCCCCCCCCCACAACACCCAGAAGGGAGCATTCTGTGGTTGCCAGTCTCCAGGTGAGGCCTGGAGATCTCCCAGAATTACAGCTGCTGTGCAGACAACAGAGATCAGTTTCCCTGGAGAAAATGGCTGCTTTGTCTGTGTGGGGGTGGGGTGGGGTGGGGGGGAGCGCATCCATACCGAGCCCCCTCCCTTCCCCCAAGCTCCACCCCAAACCCCCAGGAATTTTCCCGTCTGGAGTTGTCAACCCTAGTTAATATCCAAGCCATTTCAACCATCACCCAGGTTGCATCATAAAGAACTGTTGTTCTTTACTTGATAGGTTCCAGCGTTTTATATGTTTCAAATGATTGATCATTTGAAGTTATTTATACGTTCGCGGATGTTTTAACTGTATCTGTTTTTATTAATGTGGTAAGCTGCCCTGAGCCCACCTCGGCGGGGAGGGTGGGATAGAAATCAAATCATCATCATCATCATTATTATTATTATTCTACGGGGAGTGCGGGATAGAAATCAAATAATCATCGTCACCATTATATAATTATTTATTTATAATAATAAAATATGCTGCCGCTACTACTAATAAATAGATAATAAATAATAAAACGTGCTAATAATAAATATAAATATTAATAATAATAATAAAATATGCTTCCTTCTCTCCTACAGCCTGAGGCAGTGTAAAGTTTTTCCGCAGCCTCTTTCTGTAGCAAGGCTGAGTTCAGCTTTTGCTTAGAGGGAGGGGACCTGGGGGGGGGGTCTTGGCTTCCCCTGCTTCCGCTGGGCCTTTAAGTGCCGGCTAAGCCAGGCCTCTGCAACAGCTTTCCAAATGGGGCGGTGGGTTAAGGGAAGGGGGAAACCTTCCCAGTTGCTCCGGTTTCCAGAAGGATGTTTAGGTCGGAGTCCAGAAGCACTTGAGAGGCCTGCAAGAGTTTTGGGGGGAGGGGGTGAGCTTTCGAAAGTCGGAGCTCCCTTTGAGCATTCCCAGGGACGGAAAACACAAGCATGTTGATGTTCTCCCCGCAGCTTGATAGTAGGAAGCAGATGAGCAGGTTATTGTGTGCCTGTTGTTGGCAAACAGATGCCCAGAGCAATCAGAAAACAAAGGCCCCCCTCCCCCTTTTAAGTTAGGTTAGCTGTAAAGTTAGGTGGGGCTCCAGCGGTCCTCTGGATTGGAATAAATAGCCAAGAGGCAGCTCTTCTCTCCCTTCCGCCGTGCCCTCCTCCCTCTCCTCCCCCTTCCCTGTCGCAGGGCTGCAGGGTTGGCTTTTCTGGGACAGCAGTTAGGGTGTTAATGAGACATTGGACTTGGATGTGGGTGAGTCAGTCGGCTGTGGAAGGAATCTTGTCTTTCCTGCTCTGGCAGGTCGAGTTAGGAGCTTTAGTCACACTTTCCATTTAAAGGGGATGCACACCACGTGGCTTTCAGCCTTTTACAGTTACTAGAAGTGTGGCTGTGGATCCAGGCCTTCCCTTAAGCTTGGTTGTTCCCATGGTGAGAGCCAGTTTGGTGTCGGGGGTTAAGTGTGTGGACTCTAATCTGGGAGAACCGGATTTGATTCCCCCCTCCTCCACTTGCACCTGGCTGGATGACCTTGGGCAAGCCATAGTTCTCTCAGAGCTGTTCTTGAAAAAGAACCGTTTCTGTCAGAACTTCCTTCCTTCCTTCCTTCCTTCCTTCCTTCCTTCCTTCCTTCCTTCCTTCCTTCCTTCCTTCCTTCCTTCCTTCCTTCCTAGTTTGGTGTAGTGGTTAGGAGCACGGACTCTAATCTGGGAGAAGTGGGTTTGATTCCCCACTCCTCCACTTGCACCTGGCTGGATGACCTTGGACAAGCTATAGTTCTGATAAGAAGAAGAGAAGAGATTGGATTTATACCCCACCCTTCACTTGGAGTCTCAGAGCGGCTTACAAACTCCCTTCCCCTCCCCCTCCCCACAACAGACACCCTGTGAGGTGGGTGGGGCTGAGAGAACTCTGACAGAAACTGCTCTTTTTCAAGGACAGCTGTGCCAGAGCTTGTGACTGACCCAAGGTCATATCAGCAGGTGCAAGTGGAGGAGTGGGGAATCAAACCCGGTTCTCCCAGATTAGAGTCCGCACACTCAACCACTACACCAAACTGGTAAATGCTCTTTGAAATTGGGTTCCATTATTCAGCCGCTTATCCGGAAGAAGAGACATCTGAAATGTCCATATACCTGGGAAAGGCGTTTAGCTATAGGAGACTTTTCACTGGTCATCTTCTGCTTGATTTATGACTGCAGGAGGTCGTCGGACTCTTTTATTGCACTTAAGCAAGGAGAATCGACCAGTTGGATTTATGTGAATAACTTGTTATCAGCGCAGTTACTGTTATGTTTATCTGTATCTCAGTGATGAAGTATGACATGCCTTGAGCACATATGATTATATTTCTTAATATATATTTTATTGGGTTTTCTCATTATACATCTAAATTCTTTATACATACAAAGTAGGTAACAAGGATACAACAAAGATTGCTAAACATCACTTTCTTTCCCAAGAGCACAAAAAAACCCCTACCCTTCCAAGCATACCAGTGATGTGTAACAATATTCTAGCTTCTCAAGCCTTTACTACCTTTATTCAATTTCAAGTCCTCCCAGTTGCATCCTGTTGGTTCCCCCCCCCTTTTTTTTCTAGATATATGTATACATGAAAACACCACCGAAAGAGACACCATCTTTTTACATACTCTTTTCCTATTTTCCTATTTCCCATATAGTCTTTAAGTAAATATATTTACCATTTTCTTAGTATTTAATGCTATATTTTCCATTCAATTCTAGTCTTGCTTTACCAACATATACACTCCCCTCTTTGGCAATAAACATCTCCTTCCTACCCTAAGCACAGACCTTCTAACCTCTCTCTTCACAACCTTTCCTTTTACATCACCCTCCTTTATTTTTTAATTTTCTTTTAACATTTTCCTACAGAGGTTTACCAGTTTTTTAGTATGTGACTGTTAGTTCTTTGGACTGATAACTCTCTCTTTCCAAACTATACCAAGGCTTTCCATTCCTTTAACTCTCTTTAAATTAATTCAAAATTCATTGTCATGTAATCCCAAATCATATTAATACCCCAATTACTTAATTTTCCCTTTTCGACAACCAACTCATTCATACTACTTCCAAATTCCTTAACTAACACCTATCATTCGTATACTTTTATCTCCCCATTCGTAAGTTTATAATTTAATCATCACTCTCACTCTTCCAGTCATACATTATAAAATTAATCTTTTCCACCTTCCTTTCCCATCTCCTCCTAATTAGTTATCTATCACCTATCATTCAAAATACATTACTATTTACCCCCAGGTCTTATAAATAACCCCATTAATTAATTTCCCCCTATCAATCAACCTTTACATTCATACTCCTTCCCAGTGGTCATTTGGGGGGGGGGACGCGGGGGGACGCCATCCCCCCGGGTGAGGTGCGGGAGGGCGGGGCCTGGAGCTCCCTGCTGGTGCCCACTGGAGGTCGCCGCCGGCTGTGGGGAGGACACACTTCCGGTGATGTCAGGGGGTGTGGCATATGCTAATGAGTTATGCTAATGAGTCCCCCTAGCTCTTTTTCTACGAAATGACCCCTGCTCCTTCCCCATTCATTAATTATCACCAACCATTCCTATAAATTTAATCTTCCCCTTAATAAATTAATAATTTAATATTCACTCTCCTTTCAATCATATTACTGTATATAACTTTAACCAGCTAACATCATTACAAATGAAAATATAGATTTAAAATGATTTTTGGGGGCTTTTTTCAGGTACTCCTACATTTTTAGTCTTCACACTCATTCTTCCATTCAAACCTTAAAAAATTACTACCAATATATGCAATCAATACTAATAGGCTAATTTATCCAGCTAACCCATTGCCAATAAAAATACATTCTTTACATGATTTTTTTTTTTGGGGGGGGGTCTTTTTTCCACGTAATCCTATATCTAACAAACATCAAACTTCTATTTTTATACAGTTTGTTTTTCCCTTTCCGCCTCAGTCTTCTGTTCTTCTGTCTCAATCCTTCTACTTGTCTGCGATCTTTACACATCCTTTGAACTCCTAGTCTTTCTGTTTTATATCTCCCTCTTTCCTCTTTCCATGCTTTATGCCCTTCTTCCCTTTTTCTCTGCCACTTTCTGCGTCTTTCAATCCTTCCCTCTCTCTTACTTCCTATTTTTTGTCTCCGTCTCTTTCCTTTTAGCAGTCCTTTTAACAGTCTATTTGTACCTCTGACCACTTTGTCATTTAGTCTCTCTTTTTTTTCTTCAAAGACTACCCCGTCTATAATTTGTATTTTTTTCTGGTTGTTCTACTATAGCAATGTCCCCTTCCTCCTTTTGGTCTTTCTCGAGATTCTCTTTGGGCAGATTGTCCCTGGTTTTCTCTTTCTCCTTTTCCATTCTCCGTGCTTCGTAGCCTTTCTTTACGTGCCTCGTCACAGCCTCGCTGGACAGCCTCTTGGATCGATTCTTTTAGGGCTTTCAGAAAATCTTCCATCTTTATTTAACAGTCTATGCCCTTTTTTTTCCTTCCTCTACCGGTAATCCAGACCAACCCGATGCAATGTAGCTCCTCTTCCCCCCCCAATGTAATAAGGAAACTCACATTTTTGTCCGTATCTTTTCCCGGCCGCTCTTTCCTTCCACAGAGGACGTAAAAATTTTTTGGGGGGAGCATCTCTTTACTCTTTCCAGCTTCTTTTCTGTGCTCCTGTTAAATTGCCAAGTGTCACCATTTATAATCCTTTTGTTTGCTTAGATTAAAAAAAAACGGATGGTCGCGTTTAGTAGAGCATGGCGGCGGCTATGCTCCTCCTTCCAATCGCCTCGGACATTATATTTGGGGACATTGTATTTGTTTTAGGGTTGTGGACCACCAACCCATTATAGGCGTTTATTTGTAATTTAAACAGTTACTTAATATATCTTGTACTCAGATATTTCAAGTGTATTTACTCTTTAATGGCTCTTTCAAGAACTGCCCTTGAGAGAACAGCTCCGAGAGAACTTGTGACTGACCCAAGGCCACACCAGCAGCTGCAAGTGGAGGAGTGGGGAATCAAACCCGGTTCTCCCTTAACCACTACATCAGAATATGCATATCTAACTGCCTTTCCATTATGGCTGCTGGGGAACCCTACGTAGCTCAGATGTGTCACGTCCGTACAAAAATCAACCTAGAAGCTACATTACAGGACCACGTACAAGTATTCTCGAACGCAGGCCGTGACTGATCTTCTGAAGGACTGTGATTTTGCAGAGCATGAGAAGTTGATTTAAAAAATGGGTCTCTGCCAAGTCTCAGCATTTAGAGGGTGTTTCCTGAAACCAGGGAACAGGTTGCCTCAGGCTGCATTCATGCATTCTGCCTTGGGTGCCATAACATCCAGATCGCAAGGTGTCAGAGTCGCGCTATACACCGCATAGGTCAGGCTGCACCTGGAGTTCTGTGTGCCGTTCTGGAGCTCTGCATGTTGGCAGCAAAGGACAGAACTTGCAACAATGGGCTTAAATTACCGGCGGAAAGATACTGGCGTGATATAAGAATTTTTTTTACAGTCAGAGTAGTTCAGCAGTGGAATTGGTTGCCTGGAGAGGTAGTGAGCTCCCCCTTACTGGCTGTCTTCAAGCAGCGGCTGGATGAAGACTTGTCAGGGATGCTTTAGGACAGGGGTGACAAACATGCAGCCCAGGGGCCGGATCAGGCCCCCGGAGGGCTTTCATCAGGCCTGCAGTGGAGCTGGCCATCTCCTGCTTCCAGTTCTGCTGCTGCTGCTGCTGCATCATAGCTTGCTTCGCCAGACTCTCTCAATCGCTCAGCCGTTTCAAGTTTTAACCTGGGTCCTAGACTCAGAACTCTGAGCATGAGATTTCTGTGGTGAATGTCAATCAAGCAAAAGTAGGTTTGCAGCTTAGCTCATGTTTTAAGCATGTTTTTATTTTAAGTTTAAAAAAATCTTTGTGTTTGTGTCCTTTATAAATTTTATATCTCCGCTACCTGGCATTACATGTTATGACACACATGGCCCGGCCCAACAAGGTCTCGTTTATGTCAGATCCAATGCTCCCTCTAAGCTGTGGAGTCCTGTGAGCAAATATTCTGTTTTATGAGCTCCTGGCATTAAAGTTGTGAGCGAGCGATTCGGCTACTGCATAAATTAGTTTGCTCTGGAGCCATCCTTCCTGAGCTAAGACAAAAAATGTGTGAGACAGAGGCTAAACAACTGTGAGCTACCTCACACTAGCTCAGCTTAGAGGGAACGCTGGTCAGATCTGGCCCTCGTAACAAATGAGTTCGACACCCCTGCTCTAGGCTGGTCCTGCATTGAGCAAGGGGGGGTTGGACTAGATGGCCTACAGGACCCCCTTCCAGCTCTATGATTCTAAGAAGGGGACTCTCCACACCAGTATTCTCCCTAAGCTGAGTTAGTGTGAGCCAGCTCACCGTTCTTTAGCCTCCAGCTCACACATTTTTGTCTTGGCTCAGGAAGGGATGGCTCCAGAGCAAACTAGTTGATGCAGCAGCCCAATCGCTCGCTCACCACTTTAATGCCAGTCGCTCACAGGGGAGAATTTTTGCTCACAGGACCCCACAGCTTAGAGGGAGCATTGCTCCCCACTAGCTGGCTCGGCTCGAATGGACTGCATCATCGCCATCATCTTCTCCTTCTTTATCTCCAAAGTTCAAGACTGCAGCCTCGGGATGGCAGATGACAATGAAGACTTGCAAGCGGACGAGGACCTCCCAGAGGGGGAGACGTTTGACCAGCTGGAGAACAACTGAACGGAGCGGTCACGTGGCGGTCACCGACGGCCAGTGCATGTTCGTGTGGGGTGGCTATAAGGTGAGGGGCCTGTCCCAACCTCCTTTCCAGTCGGAACGCAGGCAGAGGGAGTTCATTCCCTGGGCCCACAGAACCGAGGCCTGGAAAAGATGCAGAAGGGTTCACCAGTGGGGGATGGAGGAGGAGGGGAGGCCGGCCGGCTAGCAATTCTGTAGCTGGCAGGATGCCCTTTCTTGGGACAGCCAGATGCTCACTCTTGGGGAAGGGCCATAGCTCAGTGGCAGAGCCTCTGCTTGGCACACAGAAGGTCCCAGGTTCGATCCCCGGCATCTCCAGGTTTAAAGGATCTGGTACAGTGTTCCCTCTAAGCCAAGTTAGCTCACAGTTCCCTCTAAGCCAAGCTAGCTCACAGTTCTTTAGACATTTTTGCCTTAGCTCGGGAAGGCTGGCTGCAGAGCAAACTGATTTATGTAGCAGCCAAATCACTCGCTCCCAACTTTAACGCCAGTCGCTCACAAGATAGAATTTTTGCTCGCAAGACTCCACAGCTTAGAGGGAGCATTGGTTCCGGTAGGAGGTGGTGGGAAAGACCTCAGCCGGAGACCCTGGAGAGCAGCTGCCAGTCTGAGTCTAGGCAGTATTGGCCTGGATGGACTAAAGGCCTGATTCTGTATAAGGCAGCTTCATGTGTGTTCAGCTTGGCAAACCAGAAAAATGTGGAAGTGGGTGTTCGCAATGGGAATGGTTAGCTCACTGGAGAAAGCCGGGGATTGAACCTGGGACCTTCTGCACGCCAAGCAGAGGCTCTGCCACTGAGCCACAGTCCCTCTTCACAGCTCTCCAGGGTCTCAGGCAGAGGTCTTTTCCATCTCCTCCTGCCTGGTCCTTTTAACTGGAGATGCCGTGGATTGAACCTGGGACCTTCTGCACGCCAAGCAGAGGCTCTGCCACTGAGCCACAGTCCCTCTTCACAGCTCTCCAGGGTCTCAGGCAGAGGTCTTTTCCATCTCCTCCTGCCTGGTCCTTTTAACTGGAGATGCCGTGGATTGAACCTGGGACCTTCTTCATGCCAAGCAGATCCTCTGCCACTGAGCCACAGCCCCTCTTTACAGCTCTCCAGGATCTCAGGCTGAGGTCTTTCCCATCACCTCCTGCCTGGTCCTTTTTATCTGGAGATGCTGCCGGGGATTGAACCTGGGACCTTCTTCATGCCAAGCAGGTCCTCTGCCACTGAGCCACAGCCCCTCTTTACAGCTCTCCAGGGACTCAGGCAGAGGTCTTTCTCATCACCTCCTGCCTGGTCCTTTTTAACTGGAGATGCTGCCGGGGATTGAACCTGGGACCTTCTTCATGCCAAGCAGGTCCTCTGCCACTGAGCCACAGCCCCTCTTTACAGCTCTCCAGGGACTCAGGCAGAGGTCTTTCTCATCACCTCCTGCCTGGTCCTTTTTAACTGGAGATGCTGCCGGGGATTGAACCTGGGACCTTCTGCATGCAAAGCAGAGGCTCTAACGTTGAGCCACGGCCCCTCTTTACAGTTCTCCAGGGTCTCAGGCAGAGGTCTTTCCTATCACCTCCTGCCTGTTCCTTTTTAATTGGAGATGCTGGGGATTGAACCTGGGACCTTCTGCATGCCAAGCAGAGGCTCTGCCCCTGAGCCACAGCCCCTATTTACAGCCCTCCAGGGTCTCAGGCAGAGGTCTTTCCCATCTCCTCCTGCCTGGTCCTTTTAACTGGAGATGCCGGGGATTGAACCTGGCACCTTCTGCATGCCAAGCAGAGGCTCTGCCACTGAGCCACAGCCCCTATTTACAGCCCTCCAGGGTCTCAGGCAGAGGTCTTTCCCATCTCCTCCTGCCTGGTCCTTTTAACTGGAGATGCCGGGGATTGAACCTGGCACCTTCTGCATGCCACGCAGAGGCTCTGCCACTGAGCCACAGCCCCTTCCCTGAGCATCTTCAACACACGGAGCTGCCTTCTCCTGAATCAGACCCTTGGTCCATCAGAGCCAGTCTTGTCTACTCAGATGGCCAGCATCTCTCCTGGGTCTCCAGCAGGGATCTTTCATATTCACCTGCTACCTGGTCTTTTTCAATCGCAGATGCCAGAGACTGGGCCTGGGACTTTCTGCTTCCTATGCCAGTGAGCTGCAGTCTTTCACCTCGTATTGATTAATTGCTTTATCCTAAGCATAGTTGACTTCATAGTTGCACTAGAAGAATGCAACTGGTAACATTTATCTGCTTTCTGGGTGGTAGACGAGAAAGTGAGACCACTGGTTTTTAAAAATAATAATTGGGTGGAAAAGTGGGGGGTCTGGGTGAAACAAACAGAAGTGGAACACTTCACTGAAGTATTCCAGGCTCTTCAGTCAGAGTTGTCGTGAATATATATGTGTATCACTTGAGATTCTTTGAGCTTTGAGCTGCTGGCCTAAGGTGAAAACCTAGGATATTTTTAAAGCAATTACCTCTGAGCTGATGTGACATTTCCCCCTTCTCTCCCTGCTGCAGAATGCCCAGGTGAGGGGCTTTTATGACTTCTACCTGCCCAGAGATGAGATCTGGATCTACAACATGGAAACCGGAAGATGGTAGGATACTTGAGAGGACTTCCAGAAACCCAGATGCACCAAAATGCATGCCGCTAGTGGCTACCCACGTGGCTTTTAAAGTCCGCTTCCTCTGTATCCAAAGAGTAGTGCCTTAAATTCTGAATTTTCGGGAGTCTCCATAATACCAACAGAGGTCATTGTATATAGGCACTGCCCAGATAAGGGGTTAGCCACCTTGAACTAAGAGGAAAGGCGGGGTATACATAATTTTATGAATATTATGAATTATTGTGTGTGTGTGTTCAGTGTGTCAGGCCGCTTTCTGTGTCTTCTTTGATGGAGTCCACCCATCTCCCACTGGGTCTTCCTCTTTCCCTGCTGCCTTCCACTTTTCCTAGCATGGTTGTCGTTTCCTACGTCTTCTCCTAATGTGACCGAAGTACAATAGGCGCAGTGTAGCCATTTAGCTCCTAGGGAGGGTTCGGGCTTGAGGGATGATTAGTAAATAGTAGGGATATATAGATTAGATACCTATTGATTTGTTTTTATGTCATTCTAATGTTGGTTTTAATTTAAATGGTTATTGTATACTATTTTGTTGTAAGCTGCCCAGAGCCCTACTTAAAATCACAGAATCATAGAACGTTAGAGTTGGAAGGGACCTTGCAGGTCATCTAGTCCAACCCCCTGCACTCTGGAGGAGCATAGCCAAAAGACAGCCCTATATACCTACAACCAATGTTCCCTCTAAGCTGTGGAGTCTTGTGAGCAAAAAATCTACTTTGTGAGCTGCTGGCATTAAAACTGTGAGCAAGTGATTTGGCAGCCGTGTAAATTAGTTTGCTCTGGAGCTGTTCTTCCTGAGCTAAGACAAAAATCTGTGAGCTGGAGGCTATAAAACTGTGAGCTAGCTCACACATACTCAGCTTAGAGGGAACACTGCCTACAACATACCTGAAAGACGGTCGTCCAGCCTCCACTTGAAAACACCCAGCGAAGGAGCATCCACCACCTCCCGAGGCAGACTGTTCCACTGCTCAACCACTCTTACAGTGAGGAAGTTTCTCCTGATATTTAGCCGGTAACGACTCCCTTGCAGGGAAGGGGCGGCCTAGCAAATCTAAATAAATAAACAATAACATAGATAGGCAGATGGATAGATAGATGGGTAGCTGAAGAAATGAGCAGTGACGCATGAAAGCTCGTACCCTGCCACAAATTTTGCTAGTCTTTAAAGTGCGACTGGACTCCTGATCTTTTCCAGTGCTGTGGATAGCTGGATAGATAATTATTTCCAGACCAAGGGAAAGCATTTGGAGAGGGGGCTGGCGTAACCACAAGCAAATCCCAGAAAAAGGCAGAATATATATATATATATAATAATGAGGCTCCATTTTAAAACAAATTTGGAAATTGCTGTCCTTTCTATATCCTCTGTCGTTTATAGCAATTTTAGTTTGCAGGCTGCATTCTCCAGCCGGTTCAAGGCAGGTAATATAAAATGGATCCGTTTCGGACGGATCCATTTTGTTGATGTGAGGCTTGATTTAGACACGATGCCGGTGAAGCAGATGTGCTTAGTTGTAGGGTCTTTGAAGTGTGTCCCCATCTGGAGCAAGCACCTTGGGGCATCTCACGTGTGCTGCTTTGCGCGGAGCACAGACCACTTTAAATAAGAAGCTGTGTGGGTGTGGAGTCTCCCAGGCGGAGTGGTTTTGCCTTGCCGTCATCACACTGAAACTGGGCCGGAACGTTCTGGTTGTCAGGAAAAGCCTCAGACACACTTTGGGGGACTGTGACCTGATTATGGGGCAGCAGTCATACTGCAAGGTCTCTGGGCTCCACTGCTTATCGGACACAGTGGGGAAGCACTCAAAAAGACGGGCCTGTTGTCTAACCGAAAGCCTTTCTGACACCGTCTCACCAGGGCAAAGCACAGGACAGTGGGAGACGTGCCCCCTTCCATGTCGGGCAGCTGCGCCGTCTGCGTGGACAGGGTCTTGTACCTGTTTGGAGGACATCATGCACGCGGCAACACAAATAAGGTCAGTCGCTTCGCGAGGGGACATGATACGCAGCATGAACAGTCCTCTAAAGAACACCAGAAGAGCCCTGCTGGGTCAGACCAGTGAGGGTCCACCTAGTCCAGCATCCTGTCTCACACACTGGCCAGCCAGTTCCTCTGGAGGGCCAACAACAGGGCAGAGAGGCCGAGGCGTTCCCCTGATAAGAACATCAGAAGAGCCCTGCTGGATCAGACCAGTGAGGGTCCATCTAGTCCAGCATCTTGTGTCCCACAGTGGCCAGCCAGTTCCTCTGGAGGGCCAACAACAGGACACAGAGGCTGAGGCCTTCATAAGAACATCAGAAGAGCCCTGCTGGATCAGACCAGTGAGGGTCCATGTAGTCCAGCCTCCTGTCTCACACAGGGGCCAACCAGTTCTTCTAGAGGGCCAACAACAGGGCAGGGAGGCCGAGGCCTTCATTAGAACATCAGAAGAGCCCTGCTGGATCAGACCAGTGAGGGTCCATCCAGTCCAGCCTCCCGTCTCCCACAGGGGCCAGCCAGTTCCTCTGGAGGGCCAACAACAGGACACAGAGGCCGAGGCTTTCCCCTGATAAGGACATCAGAAGAGCCCTGCTGGGTCAGACCAGTGAGGGTCCATCCAGTCCAGCCTCCTGTCTCACACAGGGGCCAACCAGTTCTTCTAGAGGGCCAACAACAGGGCAGAGAGGCAGAGGCCTTCATAAGAACATCAGAAGAGCCCTGCTGGGTCAGACCAGTGAGCGTCCATCCAGTCCAGCCTCCTGTCTCCCACAGGGGCCAGCCAGTTCCTCTGGAGGGCCAACAACAGGGCAGGGAGGCCGAGGCTTTCCCCTGATGCTGCCTCTTGAATCTGGGATTCCGAGTTGCTTGTCTCTGACCATGGAAGTCCCCTTTAGTCAACTAGCTGCAGCTAGTGCAGAATGCTGTGGCCAGGCTGTTGATGGGTCTCCCTAGAGGGGAGCACATCCAGCCTGTGCTGAAAGCGCTGCACTGGCTGCCGATAGCTTTTCGAGCCTGCTTCAAGGTGCTGGTACTTACCTTTAAAGCCCTATATGGCCAGGATCCAACGTACCTGCGGGACCGCCTTTCCCCATACATACCACAGAGAGCTCTACGGTCCGGGGCCCAACATCGATTAGTGATTCCAGGCCCCAGGGAGGCCAGGCTTGTGGCAACCAGGGCTAAGGCCTTTTCAGTGGCGGCTCCTACCTGGTGGAACGAGCTCCCAGAGGAGATCAGGGCCCTGCGGGACCTCTCACAGTTCCGCAGGGCCTGCAAGACAGAGCTCTTCCGCCAGGCGTTCACTTAGGAGCCGCCACCACCACCACCACCAATTGTCCTGTGGTAACAATGGGACAACTGGGATGGCCTAAAGATCTCGCCGCAATACTGCGACGGATCGGTACCGCTGAAGCATTACATCTATAGGGCAATATCTGTAGGTCACCATCTTGATACGACTAACTGGGTCACATCACTGAGCACTTTATTACTGTTAAGAATGTTGTTTTATTCTGTTTTTAATGTTTTATATTGGCAAAAGTTGCCCTGTGTGTGAGCCGCTTTGAGCCCGTTTGCGGGGAGGGTGGGATAGAAATATAATAATAATAAATAAATAAATAAACATGGCTAGTAGACGTGAATAAACTTCTCCTCCATGAATCTGTCTGATCCCCTTTTAAAAGTTTCTATTCCTGTGGCCGCGATGACATTTTCTGGCAGCGGATTCTGCGTTTTAATCACTCTCTGTGTCAAGTAGTATTTCCTTTTGTCTGTCCTGAACCTGATGCCCATCAGCTTCATCGGATGCCCTCGAGTTCGAGTATTTTGGGAGAGGGGGAATAAATTATTATTTCATTATTTATTCACTTCATTTATGTCCCCCCTTTCTTCGCAAGGTGGTTTGCATCACTCTCCTCTCCTCTGTTTTATACTCACAACCACCCTGTGAGGTAGGCCAGGCAAAGAGTGTCTGACTGGCCCAAGGTTACCTGGGCAGTGGCTCAAAGGTTAAGACGCTGAGCTGCAGACTGGAAGGTCTGTAGTGTGGCAATTCGAGACCCTGGTGCCACGTGTCGGAGTGAGCTCCCATCTCTGGCCCCAGCTCCTGCCAACCTAGCAGTTCAAAAGCAAGAAACTGCAAGTAGATAAATAGGTACCGCTTCGGTGGGAAGGGAACAGCGTTCCGTGTGCCTCGGCGTCTAGTCATACCGGCCACATGACCACAGAAATGTCTTCGGACAGCGATGGCTCTTCGGCTTGGAAACGGAGATTAGTACCGCCCCCTAGAGTTGGATTCGACTAGCTTTCGAGCAAGGGAAACCTTTACCTCTTAGATCGCAGTCCAGCTCTCTAACCACTACACCACACCGGCTCTCACACCACGCTGTAAATAAGTAATTTCCCAGCTCTTCAATGTTTGGTTCGAGATGCGTTTCTGCAGACGAGTTTGTGTGTTCCGACGCTGCCTTTCCGCTTCCCTCCCTCGCAGTTCTATATGCTGAATTCCCAGGCGAACGCCCAAGTCCTGCAGTGGGTCCGGGTGGACTGCCAGGGAGTTCCTCCGTCCTCCAAGGACAAGCTTGGCGTCTGGGTGTACAAAAACAAGTAAGTCGGCGAGAACAAAAGTCGGACTGTTCCAGGCGGGGCTTTTGCTTTTCCTAGAATTGGTAGCAGGATCGGCCGCCTCAGTTCAATAAATCGCAGTCAGGCAGAATTGGCCTGGCACTAGAGCTCATTCACTGCACCTTCTTCATCTCTTCTCCAGTTGGGTGTCGTGGTTAAGTGCGCGGACTCTAATCTGGGAGAACCGGGTTTGATTCCCCACTCCTCCTCCACATGCAGCTGCTGGAGTGACCTTGGGTCAGTCACAAGTTCTGTCAGAGCTGTCCTTGAAAAAGATCAGTCTCTTGTCAGAGCTCTCTTAGCCCCACCCACCTCACAGGGTGTCTGTTGTGGGGAGGGGAAGGGAAAGGAGTTTGTAAGCCACTCTGAGACACCTTTGGGTAGTGAAGGGCGGGGTAGAAATCCAATCTCTTCTTCGTTCTTCCTACACTGGGGCCATTGGAGGCAGTTTCCAGCCAAATAAAAAAATATGAGGTGCTTGGTACCCCTCACTTTTGATCTTTAGGAGGCGGCTGAAGATGGTTTTATTCAGGACAGCATTTGATTAAGTTTGCACACACACACCCCTTATTGTAAGTTGTAAATTGTGGTTCCAAGTTATGTTTTTTAAAAATGTATTTTTATGGGTTTTGTTCCGTTTATATTATAAGCCGCCTTGAGTTCTGCCGCAATAGAAAAGTGGCCAATATGTGTTTTAAATAAATTAATAAAGCAATATAGTCATAGTCACTTAGCATCCATAAAAGTAACAATTTTAAAAAAGAAAGCCGAGAAATGATAAAATATTAGGGCACCTGGAACACCCCCTGTTGAGAAAGAAAGGCTTTACATTTCCTTTGACATACTAGTAGCTATATGTGTTTCCAAACCTGGATGAGAAGCATGTTCCATGGCTTTGGCGCTACCACTGCAAAGGCCCTGCTGAAGTCCTGTGGCACGTCTTGGGTTTTAAATTACGGGTGGAAAGGTACCAGCTGCTGGATATTAATACTTTTTTTTTTTTTTTTTTAAACAGTCAGAGTAGTTCAGCAGTGGAACGGGCTGACTTGGGAGGTGTTGAACACAGCCTCACTGGCAGTCTTCAGGCAGCGGATGAACAAACACTTGTCCAAGATGCTTTAGGGTTGATCCTGCATTGAGCAGGGCCGTTAGACTCAATGACCTCTGTCGCCCCTTTCAGCTTTCCGATTTTGTGGCGCTTTCAGCAAGGCTGCCCCCACCCAAGATCATAGTGGATGAATCTGTGTTCCTTTCATTTAAGTAATTAGTCAGTGGAGGTACTTCCCACCCACCCCCGCCCAAATTCGAGGTGGTGTTTTTAAAGAGATGGACAAGAACATCACTTAAGCCCCTCCCCTTCTGCAGAGCAAGCCCTTGCTTGGTGCAGGTTTTTCATTAGGATCATGACTTTCTTTGCTAACCTCCTACCCCTTCCCTTGACCAGGCTGATATTCTTTGGCGGCTATGGGTACTACCCCGAAGGGGAGCAAATCGGAACGTTCGAGTTTGATGAAACCTCTTATTGGGTAAGTCACGCTTCTTTTGCTCCAGGGTCTTCTCAGTCCGGGTCTGCTCAGTTGCCAAAGGCAACAATCCTGCTGAGAATGTCCATGCCTTTATTTATAACCCGCAACAGTTGTTCTGCAAAAGATAAAAATGTCGGCTTCCATCTTGCAGGATAAGGTTATGAAAGGACTTCTCAGAGCAGCTCTTAAGACCATAAGAGAAGCTGTGCTGGATCAGGCCAGTGGCCGCTCCAGTCCAGCACTCTTTGTCACACAGTGGCCAAAACCCAGGAGCCATCAGGAGGTCCACCAGTGGGGCCAGGACTCCAGAAGCCCTCTCCCACTGTTGCCTCCTCCAAGCACCAAGAAGACAGAGCATCACTTGCCCCAGACAGAGTGTTCCATCTATACCTTGTGGCTAATACCTACTGATGGACCTCTGCTCCATATGTTTATCCAGTCCCCTCATAAGAATGTAAGAGAAGCCATGTTGGATCAGGCCGATGGCCCATCCAGTCCAACACACTGTGTCACCCAGTGGCCAAAACCCAGGTGCCATCAGGAGGTCCACCAGCAGGGCCAGAACTCCAGAAGGCCTCCCACTGTTGCCCCCTCCAAGCACCAAGAATACAGAGCATCACTACCCCAGACAGAGTGTTCCATCTATTCCTGCTAGCTAATAGCCACTCAGGGGTCTCTGCTCCACCTAAGAACATAAGAGAAGCCAATGTTTGATTAGGCCAGTGGCCCATCCAGTCCAACACGCTGTGTCACACAGTGGCCAAAAATACCAGGTGCCATCAGGAGGTCCACCAGTGGGGCCAGAACTCCAGAAGCCCTCCCGCCGTTGCCCCCCAAGCACCAGGAAGACAGAGCATCACTGCCCCAAACAGAGTGTTCCACCTATACCTTGTTGCTAGTAGCCACTGGTGGACCTTTGCTCTATATGTTTATCCTTTCCACTGGTATCCTTTGTCTTCTGCCAATGCTGGAACAAGCTGACGAATAAGAAGGTGATTTTGAGGAAGTCAGGAAGGCTCCCACTCCTTCGTTTCTGCAAGCTTTGCAGAACTGAATTATCCAGGCGGGCTTTTCTACACAGACACTGTACTACACTGTACTAAATGATTCACAAAGTTACTTGGATAGATTGTTAGAGGCTGTGGCCTAGGCTACTTGTATAGCTTGCTGCAAGTTGGAGCCCCCTGTGTAATTTTTGCATAATTTACAGTGCAATCCTATGCAGAGTAAATCCAGTCTAAACTCATGGAGCCAGTTTGGTGCAGTGGTTAGGAGCGCGGACTCTAATCTGGGAGAACCGGGTTTGATTCCCCACGCCTCCACATGCAGCCGGCTGGGTGATCTTGGGCCAGTCACATGTTCTCTCTGAGCTGTTCTCTCAAGGGCCGTCCTCGAAAGAGCTCTCCCAGCCCCACCTACCTCAAGCAGGGTGTCTGTTGTGGGGAGGGGAAGGGAAAGGAGATTGTAAACTGCTCTGAGATTCCTTCAGGTAGTGAAGGGCAGGGTATAAATCCAATCTCCTCTTCTTCTTAATAAATCCTGAAAGAACACGGTCAAATGTAGCATGTGACTGGGCAAAGAGACAAATTTATTTATTTATATTAGAGAAGAAGAGGAAGAAGAGATTGGATTTATACCCCGCCCTTCACTTGGAGTCTCAGAGCGGCTTACAAACTCTTTTCCCTTCCCCTCCCCACCATAGAAACCCCGTGAGGTGGGTGGGGCTGAGAGAGCTCTGACACAAACTGCTCTTTTTCAAGGACAGCTGTGCCAGAGCTTGTGACTGACCCAAGGTCACATCAGCAGGTGCAAGTGGAGGAGTGGGGAATCAAACCCGGTTTCCCCAGATTAGAGTCCATTCACTTAACCACTACACCAAACTGAATGGTCCGCCTTTCTCACTTGCACGCAAGGCAGAGTACACAGAATGAGTCCATCCAATCGACAGGATGGGACATTCGGTGAACGATGCCAAAGGATTAGGGTTGTAACCAAACAGAAGCCTAAAATCAGGACTGAAGCAAAGCAAGAGTATTAACCTGACACAATTAAATGATGCAGAATTCCATAGCAGTGCCCTAGTTCCAGCAAGCTCTATGCAGTAGTATAGGCCACAGTCCCTAATACTTCATCCAAGCAACTTTGTGGATCATTTATTTGCAGCAGCCCTCTATTGCCTGTGCCCAAAAGCCCTCTTGGAACAGTTCAGTTTTGCAGGGTTTGTGGAAAGCCAAGGGAGTGGTTCGTCCAGGCCTTCTCAGGCAAATCATTCCACAAGGCGGGGGCCACAGAGAGGAGGAGCTGGTACGGGGATGTCATGTGGTTGCTCAAGGTAGCAAATTGTTGAAAATGCTGTGCAATCGAGAGGGACTGCACAGCTTCTAACGGCCTCTGTGTTCCTGCCTAAAGAATTCAGGCCTTCCTCGAGGATGGAACGATCACGTCCACATGCTGGACACGGAGACTTTTACGTGGAGCCAGCCCGTCACGACGGTAAGGACCTTTTCCTTTGACAGCAAGGTGACCCCCTCTGCCCAGTCTCCCAGCCACCGCTGCGTGTTACCTTTCTGAAGCCGTGCATTTTTAATAATCAGCGTAGTGTATTGACAAGGAGCTCTGAGTCTCGTCCTCGTCTCGTTGGGGGTCCCCGGAGGGTGTGCCTGTGGTCGCTGTGGCACCCGCCGACACCTTTTCTGGTGCAGGCCACATGTTTTTAGAAAGTGGGTGGAACCAGGCCATACACACACAGATTGGGGGGGTTCCATTTCAGCACTAAAGTATCTAGTTAAGTCATACAGTGTGTAATTATCTATTTTCTATATTCCACCTTATTTTATATGTATATTCTTTTGCAATTGATTTAAAATAAGTTCCTGTTCCTTTCAAATCGGTTATATGTCAGTCCAATTTATAAGATCTTGATAAATTGTATAGTCTCTCTTGTCCAAAGGGTTTTGACCTTCTTCTCTTGAAAGTGTGTGTAATCTCACATATCCAGTGGGGCAGGGAGTTCTGTTGAAAGTGACATATTTTGCCCGCAACACTCCCTTGGTGGGCTGTCGAGTCCCAGCATGCTCTCTGAATAATGCCTTTTGCCTTTCTCCCCACAGGGCAAACTGCCCTCTCCCCGGGCCGCCCACGCCTGTGCCACAGTCGGGAACCGAGGCTACGTCTTCGGGGGCAGATATCGAGTAAGCAGAACGGCAGAGTGGGAAGGCGGGTGTCTCCGCGGGGCGGACCATTCTAAGACCGCGCGTCTCTCTCTTTCTCTCTCACATCAGGACTCTCGGATGAATGACCTCTACTATCTCAACCTGGATACGTGGGAGTGGTGTGAAATGTGAGTAGCTGTCGAGCTCCCCCCGATTGTCTGGCTGTATCTGGGAACTGAATATGTTTTGGGGGTGGGCTGTGGCTCAGTGGAAGAGCCTCTGCTTGGCATGCAGAAGGGCCCAGGTTCAACCCCTGGCATCTCCAGCTAAAAGGACCAGGCAGGAGGGGATGGGAAAGACCTCGGCCTGAGACCCTGGAGAGCTGTGAAGAGGGGCTGTGGCTCAGTGGCAGAGCCTCTGCTTGGCATGCAGAAGGGCCCAGGTTCAACCCCTGGCATCTCCAGCTAAAAGGACCAGGCAGGAGGGGATGGGAAAGACCTCGGCCTGAGACCCTGGAGAGCTGTGAAGAGGGGCTGTGGCTCAGTGGCAGAGCCTCTGCTTGGCATGCAGAAGGGCCCAGGTTCAACCCCTGGCATCTCCAGCTAAAAGGACCAGGCAGGAGGGGATGGGAAAGACCTCGGCCTGAGACCCTGGAGAGCTGTGAAGAGGGGCTGTGGCTCAGTGGCAGAGCCTCTGCTTGGCATGCAGAAGGTCCCAGGTTCAATCCCTGGCAGCATCTCCATTTAAAAGGGATCTTGTAGCAGTTAACGGGGAAGACCTCTGCCCGAGACCCTGGAGAGCGGCTGCCCAGTCTGAGTAGACAAGACTGGCCTTGGTGGAATCTCAGTGGTCTGATTCAGTAGGAAGCAGCTCCGTGTGCTTCATCTGTGGGGACACCATTCAAAAACAGCTCTGTCATTCCTCCTCCAGCGTTAATGGAGTAGAGGCTTAGCCTCCCCCCGCGCACGCACACACACACACACACACTGGGGGTGTGCAAAAAAATAAAATAAATTCGGCCCGATTCGATTTGGTTTAAACTGCCTTCCCTCCACGGCAGTGTTCCCTCTAAGCTGAGTTACTCTGAGCTAGCTCACAGTTTTCCAGCTTCTGGCTCACAGATTTTTGTCTTAGCTCAGGAAGGATGTGGCTCCAGAGCCAAAGTAGCCAAATCGCTCGCTCACAACTTTAATGCCAGTAGCTCACAAAACAGAATTTCTGCTCACAAGACTCCACGGCTTAGAGGGAGCATTGCTCCAAGGGCTGACTTGCCCGGGCTCCCTCCGAGGGCTGGCGCCCGGGCTAGCCAATGATTCGTCGGTTTCCTTTCGGCTGGCCGAATCAGATTACAGAATGTGATTCGGCCAGTGGCCGGCCGAAAATCAGCCAAATCAGCTATTTTCGGCGGTGCGAACCAAACGCACATCCCTAATGCACACCTTGCAGCTGTGACAGGCCACAGCCAGCCTGGCACCTTCTTCCCAAGCTGGATGGGAGTGCTGAGTCTGAGAACTCTTTTCTGGACGAGATCATCGGCCTTGTTTCCCCAGCCCCCCCCCCCCCCAAGCCCAGGAGCGTGACCTGCTGCCCGGGGGCGGGGAGGCATTCAGGCATCTCAAGCCCAGCCCCAATCTCAAACCACGCTGACTTGGCCTTTCCCCATCTGCAGCGTCACGCAAGGGGCGTGCCCCGTCGGCCGCTCCTGGCACTCGTTAACTCCGGTGTCGTCCGACCACCTCTTCCTCTTCGGCGGGTTCACCACCGACAAGCAGCCGCTGAGTAAGTACTTCCCGCCAGGCCCAAATGTCCAGAAGGGCCCTCCTACGGAAAGTTATTTAAAACCTTGAATCTTGGAAGCAGAATAAATTAATGGACACTGAACTCATATATGCAAGAATAATCAATTTGGCCAAATTGGTTGCGTCGGCACGGAATTTGGGGCGCTCTGTACTCTGAGGTTCCTGCCTGCCTTTGGAGCCCAAGAATTCTTTGCTCGTTTATTCATTTAAAATATTTAACAGCCAGCATTTCCCCTGCGGAACCCAGGGCGGCTTGAAATATTAACACAATACGTGAAAGCATTAAAAAAGCTTAAATCCAAAATCTAAAATCCCAGTTGAGGGCTGCTTTAATTAAATGCTGTCCTAAATAGAACAGTCTGAATAGCTAAAAAATAAGAGAGGGGCTTCACGTTTGATGCCTGCAGGTCTGAAGGCTCCGTCATCAACCAAATCTGAACGCAGCTTGTTCCGGCATCCACGAGGAAGCACTTCCAAGTCCAAACCTCTCTTCTGTCTATTTCAGGTGACGCCTGGATTTATTGCATCAGTAGAAACAAGTGGATACAATTTCAGCACAATTATGCAGAGAAACCCCGGTAAGGAGTGGAGCAGAAATCATTACTTTGCATCAGAATGCCTACAAGGCCAGCCGTGGTCTCTATGTGTGTGTGTGTGTGATGTGCCGTCCAGTTGCTTCCCGACTTCCGATGACTGTATGAATGAGTGACCTCCAAAACATCCTCTTATTCACTACCTTGCTCAGGTTTTGCCAACGGAGGGCCAGTCTGGTATAGTGGTTAAGTGCGCGGACTCTAATCTGGGAGAACCGGGTTTGATTCCTCACTCCTCCACATGTACCTGCTGGATGACCTTGGGCAAGCCGTAGTTCTGGCAGAGCTGTTCTCTCAAGAAGAAGAAGAAGAGATTGGATTTATACCCCGCCCTTCACTACCCGAAGGAGTCTCAGAGCGGCTGACAAACTCCTTTCCCTCCCCCTCCCCACAACAGACACCCTGTGAGGTAGGTGGGGCTGAGAGAGCTCTGACAGAAACTGCTTTTTCAAGGACAGCTCTGACAAAACTATGGTTTGCCCGAGGTCATCCAGCAGCTGCAAGTGGAGGCGTGGGGTATCAAACCCAGTTCTCCCAGATTAGAGTCCGCGCACTTAACCACTACACAAAACTGGCTCAAGGGCAGTCCTGTCCAGAGCTCTCTCAGCCCCGCCTACCTCCCAGGGTGTCTGTTGTGGGGAGGGGGAGGGAAAGGAGCTTGTAAGCCGCTCTGAGACACCTTTGGGTAGTGACGGGTGGGGTATAAATCCAGTCTCTTCTTCCTCTTCTTCTTCACCTTCTACTCCTTCTCCCTTCTTGGTTGATTCAATCCGTCTCCGGTTGGGTCTTCCTCTGCTCCCGCCGCCTTCCACTTTCCCTAGCACTCTTGTCTTTCCCGGTGAGTCTTTTGTCTTCTCATCGCGTGACCAGAGTACGCCAGCCTCCCTTTAGCCATCTTGGCCTCTAGGGAGAGTTCAGGCCTGGTTTGATCTAGAGCCCACTCGTGTGTCTCTTTGGCGGTCCGCTGTATCCGTAGGACTCCTCCCAACGCCACGCGTCGAAGGAACCCACTGTCTTCCCGCCAGCTTTCCTCGCTGTCCCACTTTGACAGTCGTATCCAGACTCCAGGAACCTCCTCCCCTCGCGACCTGAAAGAACCAGGGCCTTCCGCTGCTCTCTCTTCAGTCTTACGCTGTCTGGGAAAACGGGATACTAGAAGCACCGTGATCAGAGCACGCAGAGGGTGCTCACCTTTATGGTTAGGGTTAACGTTGCCACAATCTCTTCCCAGCCTGTTTCAATTTCCTGACAGTCCCACGCTACAGACGATTATTGATGCTGGCTAGATTGCCTGATTGTGAGCCGCCCTGAGCTGGCGTTGCCGGGGGTGGGGTGGGGGGCTATAAATTGAATTTATAAATAAATAAATGCTGTTCCGTCAGGGGAGCTATCGGGACGCTTAAATAAGGTGCCTTATGCTGAGCGACTGTGCCAGGGCGGTTCTGGCCAGACAGACACCCTTCAACCAGTGTTCCCTCCAGGGAAAAAGTGGTGCAGGAGCTCATTAGCATAACTCATTAGCATAACTTATTTGCAGATGCCACACCCCCTGACGTCACCAGAAGTGTGTCAGGAGGCAACACCCACCGCTCAGGCTCCACTGGACTGTTTTGGATTGCTAGCTATTGGGGGGGGGGCGCAGATCAGTCCTCGCAGAGGAGGGAGAGCTTGTACCTGAATAAAACTTGGTCTTATATGGCGCCACTGGACTGTTTTGGATTACTAGCTAGGGGGGGGGAGAACGTGCAGATCTGTCTTTGCAGAGGAGGGAGAGCTTGTACCTGAATAAAACGTGGTCTTAAAAGTGCCAACATGGCCTGACTGAGGGCTGCTGGGAGCAGGGGGCGGGGCTTGTTGCATGTGCCCGCCCCCTGGGCTCCTTATTGCCGGAGCTCTGCTCCTGTGGGCTCCCGTAGGAAATGACCCCTAGTTCCCTCTAAGGTGAGTTAGTGTGAGCTAGCTCACAGTTTTTTAGCCTCCGGCTCACACATTTTTGTCTCGGCTCAGGAAGGATGGGGCTCCAGAGCAAACTAGTTTATGCAGCGGCCAAATCGCTCGCTCACCACTTTAATGCCAGGAGCTCACAAAGTAGAATTTTTGCTCACAAGACTCCACAGCTTAGAGGGAGCATTCTTCAACATGGTCTGTTCAACTGTAATTTGCTTAATGAGGCAAGAGATGGTTGGATAAAACCTTATATCCAGGACTCTAGGTGTGAACTGGATAATTTGAGGTTTCTTTTAGCAGGGGTGGGTTTTAATATTACATTGGCAGTTGCCAAGTTCTTTTCTCCATTGATAAATATTAAAAATCATTAAATTTTTATATTATATGGACACATGTATTAAATCAAATGTCCTCCTTTCTTTCCCCCCAGTCTTAGTGTGACACTGTTCAGTGCCGAATCGGCTGTAAGAGCAGTACCATTAAAGTCAGTCTGCATCTCTGCCGTCCCTGGATTCAACGTTGACACTTGGTTTTTGGCTCATCTGTTTCAGGCTTTGGCATACAGCTTGTGCCAGCGAAGAAGGAGAGGTGATCGTCTTCGGCGGCTGTGCTAACAATTTACTTGCCCATCAAAAAGCAGTAACTGCTGGGGTGGTGGGGTAGACACACCTTTGCAGAAACACCAAATGACTCTTGTTCCTTCCAGTCAAGGCAAGAACATTAGAAGAGCCCTGCTAGATCAGACCACTGGTTCATGCAGTGCAGCATCCAGTCTCACTCAGTGGCCAACCAGTCCCTTTGGAGGGCCAACTACACGGCAGAGAGGCCAAGGACTGCTGGATCAGACCAGTGGTCTACCCAATCCTGCATCCCATTTCACACACTAGCTGACCAGTTCCTCTGGAGGCCAAGAACAGGGCAGAGAGGCCGAGGCCTTCCCTAGATGCCTCCTGGCTCTGGGATTCAGAGGATTAATGCATCTGAACGTGGAGGTTCCCCTCAGCCACCATGGCTAGTAGCCATTGATAGACTTACCCTCCATGGACCTATCTAATCCTCTTTTAAAGTTGTTTACTCCTGTGGCCATGGTGACATCCTCTGGCCATGAATTCGACATTTCAATCACTCTCTGTGTAAAGTGGTGTTTCCTTTTGTCTGTCCTGAACCTACTGCCCACCAGCTTCATTGGATGCCTTGAAGTTCTAGTATGTGGGGAGAGGGAGGACAGAAATACTTGTGGTCCTTCAGCCGGACACATTGGACATAAGGACGACAGGCCTCTTGAGTTGGGCGGCCTTCAGAGTTACCAGGAATCCCTGCTTTAGGCGGACTGGTTCTGGGGCGGTTGCTGCTGTCCTGCCAATTCAAGAATGTGTGCAATACCTGGCCCTGAGGGGGCACACTTGGCGCTGAAGTGTTGCACCTCCCCCCAGGACCCAGGCGGCTCTGGTGTGCTATGTCAGTACAGAGTCAGGAAGAACCATAGAGGCAGAAGACTTGAACACAGATTCTGACCAGAGCAGGAGAAGTATCTGGGTGGCAGCAGCCACATCATCAGAACCAGGACAGAATGTCAGTATTATATGAAGAAGGAGACTGGATTTATCCCCCGCCCTTCACTACCCGAAGGAGTCTCAGAGAGGCTCACAGTCTCCTTTCCCTTCCCCTCCCCACAACAGACACCCCCTGCGAGGTAGGCGGGGCTGAGAGAGCTTTGACAGAAATGGCTCTTTTTCAAGGACAGCTCTGCCAGAACTGTGGCTTGCCCAAGGTCATCCAGCAGGTGCAAGTGGAGGAGTGGGGAATCGAACCCGGTTCTCCCAGATTAGAGTCCGCACTCCTAACCACGACACCAGACTGGCTGTTGTCTGTCATATTTCTGGTAGGCTAGGTTGAGAGTGTGTGGCTGGCCCAAGATCTGCCCCTCCCATCATGCAGTTCCCTGGAACGGGGCTGCAGGCCAAGGACCTGTTTAGTTCCCAGGGATCTGTACTAACGATGCCCTGACCCAGACGTCCCAGGCTAGCCGGATCTCGTCAGGTCACGTAAGCTTAAGAAGAAGAGATTGGATTTATACCCCATGGCCCTTCACTACCCAAGGGAGTCTCAGAGCGGCTGACAAACTCCTCTCCCTTCCCCTCCCCACAAAAGACACCCTATGAGGTGGGTGGGGCTGAGAGAGCTCTGACACAAACGGCTCTTTTTCAAGGACAGCTGTGCCAGAGCTTGTGACTGACCCAAGGTCACATCAGCAGGTGCACGTGGAGGAGTGGGGAATCAAACCCGGTTCTCCCAGATTAGAGTCCGCACACTTAACTACTACACCAGACTGGCTCCCGTAAGCAGGGTTCTGTTACGATTCCAAGATGTAAGGGTTCTTTGAAGCACACCACGGAGGAGGGCCATAAAGTGCACCATGAGGTCGGGGGGCAGAGATGCTTTTCTGCAGAGATAACTATTAGTTCTACCTACTAGGGAGGGCAAAGACGGATAGCTGTTGTACGACAGGATCTGGGCCCCAAGATGCATGGCGCGTGTGCCCTGGGTCGGTTGGGAGACCAGGACCCCCATTCCCACATGCTGGCCAGGTCCCTGAGTCTGGATCGGATAAGAGGCTTCCCGCCAGGAAAGGCAGAAAGGGTTAAAAGACTGGTAGCATCTGTTAGTCCTCCTTGTAATGCTGGAGCAGGTGTTCTGGTTGATCACAAGCTAAACATGTGCCTGCAGTGCGATGTGGCTGCGAAGAAAGCTAATGCAATCTGAGGATGCATAAACAGAAGCATCGTGTCCAGATCACAAGAGGTGGTAGTTCTGCTCTATTCTGCTGTGGTCAGGCCTCACCTGGAGTCCTGTGTCCAGTTTGGGGCACCACAATTTAGGAAGGATGTTGACAAACTCGAGCGAGTCCAGAAGAGGGCAGCCAGGATGCTGAGAGGGTTGGAATCCAAGTCTTACGAGGAAAGGCTGAAAGAGATGGGTCTGTTTAGCCTGAGAAAGAGAAGTCTTAGAGGGGGCATGATTGCAGTCTTCAGGTATCTGAAGGGCTGTCATGTAGAAGATGGAGCGGATCTTAGGATGCATTAACAGAAGCCTTGTGTCCAGGTCACGGGAGGTGGTAGTTCCGCTCTATTCTGCTATGGTCCGGCCTCACCTGGAGTCCTGTGTCCAGTTCTGGGCACCACATTTTAGGAAGGATGTTGACAAGCTCGAGCGTGACCAGAAGAGGGCAACCAGGATGGTGAGAGGGTTGGAGTCCAAGTCTTACTACGAGGAAAGGCTGAAAGGGTTGGGTCTGTTTAGCCTGGGAAAGAGAAGGCTTAGAGGGGACATGGTTGCGGTCTTCAAGTATTTGAAGGGCTGTCACGTAGAAGATGGAGCGGATCTATTCTCCCTTGCTCCGGATTGCAAGACTAGATCTAATGGGTGGAAATTACAAGGGAGTCGTTACCGGCTAAATATCAGGAGAAACCTCCTGACTGTCAGAGTGGTTGAGCAGTGGGGCAGATTGCCTCCGGAGGTGGCGGATGCTCCGTCGCTGGACGTTTTCAAGCGGAGGCTGGACGACCATCTTTCGAGTATGTTGCAGGGCTGTCTTTCGGCTGTGCTCCTGCAGAGTGCAGGGGGCTGGAGTAGATGGCCTGCAAGGTCCCTCCCAACTCTCACATCCTATGATTCTAAGTCCAGGGTTTCTCTGCAGAGGCAGGCCCTGGCAAAACCACCTCCGTCCGTCTCTTGCCACAGGACGGCTGCGACTTGGCAATGCTTTCCACCCCCACTAACTGTCCGCACTCTCTTTTTCAGGCCCACAGTAATGAGATCCTGGTGTTTTCACTGCAACCGAAATCTCTTGTAAGGTATTTACACTGAAAAAAATCCAGAGCTCTCGCATCCGTATAAACAAGATTAAGATGGAGAAGTGGGTCAGGGCCGTCTTCTCTGTGACGGAGCCCCAGGAACGGGTGTCCAAATACCAGGAGCGTCTGTTCCTTTATAGACTCAGCCGGACCGCCTGCAGCAGGTTCTGGGATGGGAGAAACTTTGCCCGTTGGATTTATGCTGCCCTGGCTGTCCTCTTCGTGGGGTGGGAAGCCTCCGCTGGCCAGGCAGAGGAAGGAGCTCTTTGCAAAGCGCACCTCCCCCCCCCACACTGAATTGCAGTGAAGCCCAGCGGCCTCACCCATGCAGGCTCGGGCATTTCGATGTGGTTAGACTGCTGGTTGGGGCCAGCTACTGGGAGCATGAGACCATCAATACTCAAGCAATTACTGGAGAGCCAGTTTGGTGTACTGGTTAAGTGCATGGGAGAGCCGGGTTTGATTCCCCACTCCTCCACTTGCACCTGCTGGATGACCTTGGGCAAGTCATAGTTCTGGCACAGCTGTCCTTGAAAAAGAGCAGTTTCTGTCAGAGCTCTCTCAGCCCCACCTGCCTCACCGGGTGCCTGTTGTGGGGAGGGGAAGGGAGATTGTGAGCCGCTCTGAGACTCCTTCGGGGAGTGAAGGGCCATGGGGTATACATCCAGTCTCTTCTTCTAAGGCTCTGAAGCCCAGTTCAAGGAGTTGGCTTTGTCCTTTAAAGACCAACATGCCTTGGGACCGAGGTATCTGAAGGACTCTCTTTCCCCTTATGTTCCTGCCCAGGAATTATGATCACAGGGAGGCCCCCCCCCCCGACTCTCCCACCAATCAAAGATGCTCGTTTTGCGGGCACAATAGACAGGGCCTTTTCAGTGGCAGCCCCCCCCCCCAAATTATGGAACACTCTTCTCAGGGAGGTGCGCCGGGTCCCCTCACTGTCAATCTTCGGCAAGCAGCTCGGAGGCAGTTTTATTTAGGACTGCGCTTGACTAATTCAGTTTTTATTTATTGGCCGTCCTTAATTGACATAGTAAACAGTCACCTTTGATGTGTTTTGTAACTGTTATTTATGCCACGAGCCGCTTTGAGTGCCGGAAGGGCACCGTTATTCAAGCTTTTTTTAAAAAAGGATCACTGTCGGTCCCTGTATTTAGAGACGTTAACCAGCCTGGGATTAAGATCGGCTTTTACAGCTTTAAGATTTCAATCCATGCCCTCAGTGATCAGGACTGGACGTTTCTTTGGTATCCCTGCCCACCCCACCCCCCTTAGACTTTGCCTTTGTGATATGGGGGAAGTCGATGATATTGTACATTATATTGTGAGATGCCCATGGCATGAAGCCCCTAGGCTAAAGCACATCATATCCCTATTATTCCGCAGCATAATGGACTCTCCGATCTGGATCTGGTCAAATTTTTACTCTCGGACCTTGACCGCTGTCTCTAGCAGAATGGCTTCAGTTGCCTTAGCGACAAGGAAAATCAGAATGAGTTTAGTATTTAATGCAAAGTAGGAGGAGTATACTGATATTTTTTATTGTTTACATTACCATTTTATAGTCTGATGTATTATCTTATGGCCGATGGCTAAGACAATAAACTTATACTACAACTATAAATGCTGGAAACAATAGATGTCAGGGGTTGGGAACTACTGGCCGGTGAAAGTCTCAGGCCAGTGGAGTTGGGGGCTGGGCGTTCCGGCAAAAGAGAATTCCGGGCGTGGGGATTTCAACTGTTTCTCCCCCCCCCGTGCCCCAACTCTTCCTCTTCCTGTAGACTCTGCCTGGAGGCCATCTTGTGCTTCAAGGAGGTCCTGGCCGGCTCATGGCACTGCCTGCCCAAGCATCTGCTCCACAGCCTCAACCAGCGCTTCAGCAGCAGCAACAACACCTCTGGCTCCTAGGAAGCGGCGGGGGTCCCCCGGCGGCCGCCCCTTCCCCCCCCCCTCCGGTGCATGGATGAGCCCGCCCACCGAGAGATGTAATCGTCATCTGACCACCCCTCCGTGACGTCTGTATAGGTTAATAATATCCGTTTTCTTTCTTTGCATCGTCGTAGGGTAACCGGACGCTTCTCGGCTTCGACCTCTTTTGTTGCATGTGAATGGCTTAGAGAGAGAGAGAACCTATTTTTGTGTACAAAGATGTTTGCAATAAACGTATTTAATGCAAGTGCAGAGGGACTCGGAGATTCACTTGAACCGCCTCTCCCCCCCCCCCCCCCCCCCCCCCCGCCCCGCCGGGCGCACGACGCCAAAGACCCAGAGGTCTTGGACAGACTCAGTTTCACAAGTGCCGCCTTCTGCTACCATCCCCGCCTGATCTCGTCAGATCTCAAAAGCTAAGCAGGGTCGGCCGTTGCTAGTACTTGGATCAGGAGACCACCAAGGAAGTCCAGGGTTGCTACGCAGAGGCAGGCGGTGACCGGCCACCTCTATCTCTCGCCCTGCCCTGGATGGCCCAGGCTCACTCGGTTTCATCAGGTCTCGGGAGCCAAGAACGGTCAGCTCTGATGAGTACTGGGGTGGGAGCAGTGTTCCCTCTAAGCTGAGTTAGGGTGAGCTGGCTCACAGTTTTTCAGCCTCCGGCTCACAGCTTTTTGCCTTCGCTCAGGAAGGGATGGCTCCAGAGCAAACGAATTTCTACAGCAGCCAAATCGCTGGCTCACCGAATAGGATTTTTACTCACAGGACTCCGCAGCTTAGAGGGAACCTTGGGTGGGAGACCACTGAAGAAGTCCAGGGTCGCTAAGCAGAGGCAGGCAGTGGCAAACCACCTCTGAACGTCTCTTGCCCATATGGGGTCTGCATAAGGTGGCTGTGACTCGACACATTTTACACACACACACACTTCCATTCTCACATAGAAGCCTCTGCTGCCAGACGTTTAGCTACAGCCATAGTCAGTACCGACTCACAAGAACAGCACGTGAAGCTGCCTCTACTGAATCAGGCCCTGGGTCCACCAAGGTCAGCATTGTCTGCTCAGACGGGCAGCCGCTCTCCAGGGTCTCAGGCGGAGGTCTTTCCCATCACTGCCTGCCTGGTCGTTTCAACTGGAGGATCGAACCTGGGACCTTCTGCATGCTAAGTAGATGCTCCGCCGCTGAGCCACAGCCTCTTGCAGTAAAGACCCCCCCAAAAAAGGGAAACTTTGGAAACCATCAGTGGCCGTACCCAGAGAAGAAGAAGAAGAGATTGGATTTATACCCCGCCCTTCACTCGGAGTCTCAGAGCGGCTTACAAACTCCTTTCCCTCCCCCTCCCCACAACAGACACCCTGTGGGGCTGAGAGAGCTCTTGACAGAACTGTCCTTGAGAGAACAGCTCTTGTCAAAACTATGGCTTGCCCAAGATCATCCAGCAGCTGCGAGTGGAGGCGTGGGGAATCAAACCCGGTTCTCCCAGATTAGAGTCCGCATGCTTAACCACTGCACCAAACTGCCTCTCAAAATGGGAAGTCAAAACACAAGATATGGGATAAAGTTTGTCACCCAAGACATAAGCACATAATCTATCTGCGTAAGGTACTCCTTGCAGAGGGGAAAGCAAGCTATCTCCCAGTGTGCTCTGGGTTGGCGCTCTCATATTATAGCTGCCCATGGAGACGACTGAAAATGTTGGCGGCAGCAGCAGCTTCACAGCTTCGACATCCCTTCCCGCTCCCATTGACAACACTTTGGCAGCCTCGCTCACAGTGTTAATGTCCAGAGGCCACAGCTGCTGCTGCCCCCTAGAGGGGGTTGGGGGGGCTTCAAGGGGGGCAACATGTGACCCATAAATGCACAAATACAGCCCTCGGTCCAAAGCCAGAAGCGGGGGCTATTTTTGCTGTCTTTACGCAACAACCACAGTCAAGGACAGGCATATTGGACTTTATTAGCAAAACCGGAAGAGGGCTCTTCTTGAGCTTGGGCATCCAACTCGCGGTCAGGGAGAGGCGGCCCCCGGCGGCAGGGTTGTGGCGGCCTGTATGGGCGCCCCCCTCCTATTTCTTTTTGGTGTGCAGGAGATGAGGAGCAGACACCTTCACTTTGCCCGGGATGTTTCTCGAGAGGTCTGTATCCTGAGCAAAAGAGTAAAACAGTGCCACGCTAGTTAGCTAGAGGCAGGGGTCATTTCCTGCAGGAGCGCACAGGAGCAGAGCTCCGGCAGTAAAGAGCCGAGGGGGCGGGCACATGCAACAAGCCCCGCCCCCCGCTCCCAGCAGCCCTCAGTCAGAGCAAGAAGCAGCGAGGTAAGCTGCAGAGCCCCACCCCCCGGTTCAAAACAGTCCAGTGGCACCTTTAAGACCAAGTTTTATTCAGGCACAAGCTCTCCCTCCTCTGCAAGGACAGATCTGCATTTCCCCCCCCCCTACATAGCTAGCGATCCAAAACAGTACAGTGGAGCCTGAGCGATGGATGTTGCCTTCTGACACACTTCCGGTGATGTCAGGGGGTGTGGCATAGGCAAATGAGTTATGCTAATGAGCTCCTGCACCTCTCTTTCTACGAAATGACCCCTGGCTAGAGGGCTGCAGTTGAGGTACAGAGCTACCTCACAGGTAGTTTTAACAGCTAACCACAGGTTTTATTCTAGCGTCAGTAGGAAAAGGTAGGGGGTTTTCTTGGGGATTGTTGGCAGGAAAGTTACATGAGAGTAAATAGTTGAACCCTCCATCTTCCCTGTTAAATTGCAACTGCATTATCTTTTTTTTAAAAAAACAGTATCAGGGTTATAGGAAACTGCCGCTTTCTTCTTGGGGACTTAAGTACCCGGCTCCTCTCTATAACTGCACTCAACCCTTTTCATTGGTTTGCTGTTCTTCATGCCTCCCCTGCCTTTCTCCCCGGTGGGAGGACCCAAATCAGCTGACACATTTTTTTCTCTTCCTCCTTTTGGTCCTAACAACAACCCAGTGAGGTGGGTAAAGCTGAGAGCATGCGACTGGCCCAAGATCACCCAGGGAACTTCCATGGCAGCGTGGGGATTCGAACCTGGGTCTTCCGGCTCCTAGTCCAGCACTCTAACCACTGCACCGCACTGCCTCTCACTTCAGCCTCAGAAGGCTGTCCTGAGCAGGGAGCAATCGGGGAGTCCATCATCCTGCAAAATGGGAGGACTGGGGGGGGGGAATAGTTTAATTTCTTAATTCCTAAAGACAGCCATCGTAGTGTGGCGGTTAAAAGTGTCAGACAAGGATCTGGGAGACCCAGGTTCGAATCCCCCACTCTGCCATGAAAGCTTCCTGGGTGAGCTTGGGCCAGTTGCACATTCCCAGCCTAACCTCCCTCACAGCAGAAAAGACCCAGAGTTCAGGAGCAGCTTAAAAACTTTCAGTGCTTTTGCCCTGGATAGCCACAGAGGGGAATGGAGAAAGATGAGGTGGGCGAAGGCACAGCCTGCCCCCCCATCCCAGATACACAGGCTCCCCATCCCAGATACACAGGCTCTTTTCACACATAAAAAACAACAACATACAGCCTTCCTTTCTACAGAGCGACCAATCTGGACGCACGCAGAACTAAGGGTCTGTTTACTGCCAGGAACGACACAAGCCAGCTAAAAGGACGCGAGGCACCAGGGCCGTTACCCACAGAGTCCCATTTCTAGCACACAGCGGGGAAAGATCAGGCGCCCTCGGGCACCAGCTTCACCCGTGGGAAGCCTCCCGGCCACCTGCTGGGAGGGACTCCTGACTAGCGGAAGGAAGGAAGGAAGGAAGGGAAGGAAGGGAAGGAAGGGAAGGAAGGAAAGGAAGGAAAGGAAGGAAAGGAAGGAAAGGAAGGAAAGGAAGGAAGGAAGGGGCTTCTCACCTTCACGCTGCGGAAGAGGTCCTTCTCTCGTGGGGTCGCCTCCTTGGACTGCATGAAGCTGTGCAAGGCGGTCTTCGCGGCTGTTAAAGGCGCAAGGCAAAGTCATCAGGGAGGGGGAAGGACGGAGATCCGACACCAAGAGGAAGCCGGAAGCGTCCCTTTCTTCACTTAAAGATGAGGCTGCCTTCGAGCAGTTCAAACCGGGGACCTGCGTCTTATCCAAAGCGGGCCCTCCGCCACTGAGTTACGGGCCCTCCCTGGCTCCCTCCTGCTCAGTATTGTCTACTCTGACTGGCAGCAGCCCTCCGGGGGACTCAGGCCCTGAAAGGTCTTTGCCAACCCCTGTGACCAGTGTTCCCTCTAAGCTTAGTTCGTGCGAGCCGGCTCACAGTTCTTTAGACTCCACCGCAGATATTTTTGTCCTCGCTCAGGAAGGAGGGCTCCAGAGCAAACTGCAGGAGCCCTATTGCTCGCTCACAACTTTAATGCCAGCAGCTTGCAAAGTAGAATTTTTGCTCCCAAGACTTCGCAAGCTAAAGGGAGCCTTGCCCGTGACCTGTCGTCCAGTCAATGAAAGAGGTCAGGGAAAGGCAGGTGCTCTGTCACTGAGCCACAGCCCCCATGCAAACAAGGGTCAAGCTAGACCCAAAGACGGGAGAGAGCGGCTATTGTTTTAAACTGCAAATCGCAGCTGGGATCGCCCCACCTCGGTACCCTTTGACTCGGGGGGGGGGGGCCCACAACTACAAAATGGCTGCTGCAGGAGGCGGAGCGAACCAAAGTATTGGGGAGTAAATGCTATGCCTAATTCTAATAGTAATGCTCTAGCATTTCAGACAGACTATCTGCTATCAGTTTGGTGTCGTGGTTAAGTGCGCGGACTCTAATCTGGGAGAACTGGGTCTGACTCCCCCACTCCTCTACTTGTAGCTGCTGGATGACCTTGGGCAAGCCATAGTTCTCTCAGAGCTGTTCTCTCAAGGACAGTTCTGTCCGAGCTCTCTCAGCCCTGCCCACCTCACAGGGTGTCTGTTGTGGGGAGGGGAAGGGAGAGGAGTTTGTCAGCTGCTCTGAGACTCCAAGTGAAGGGCGGGGTATAAATCCAATCTCTTCTCTTCTTCTGCTTAACAGGATGACTTTTTAATATTTTGGGTATTTTTGTGTTTCTATGAGTTTGTGTGTATCTGGAAGTCATGGCGACCTCTGGTGACTGACCCCCGCTGGGGGACTGGAGGATGTTCAGAGAGGCAGCAGAATGAAGCTTGCCGCCGCCTCCCAACTGCTGGCATTCCAAGGAGGTCTCCCACCCAAGTACTTGCCGAAGTCGGCCCTGCTTAGCTTTCAAGACCTGACGGGATCAGGCCGGCCTGGACTATTCAGTTCAGGGCTTAAAAGGTAAAGGTAAAGGTTCCCTTGCTCGAAAGCCAGTCGAATCCGACTCTAGGGTTGCGGTGCTCATCTCCGTTTCCAAGCCGAAGAGCCAGCGCTGTCCGAAGACGTTTCCGTGGTCATGTGGCCGGCATGACTAAACACCAAGGCGCATGGAACTCTGTTACCTTCCCACTGAAGTGGTCCCTATTTATCTACTTGCAATTTCTTGCTTTCGAACTGCTAGGTTGGCAGGAGCTGGAACTAGAGACGGGAGCTCACTCCGTCATGCGGCACACTCGGGTCTCGAACTGCTGAACTACCGACCTTCCACAGCCTGCAGTTCAGCATCTTAACCACTTGAGCCACCGCAGCTCCTTTCAGTTCAGGGCTTACAGGATGCCTTTCTAAGGGATCACATTGTTCATTGCCTGTGCTGCGGTGGCAGCTGCTGCCGAAGCAATGCTTTTTCAATCAGACCATTAAGATCTCCAATGGCCAATCAGGATCCTTGCTGGGCAAAAGCTCCACCTGGCCCTGCCCACTTTCTAAAAGCACTTGGCGGGTGCCAGGAAACGTGGCGGGTGCCCACGGTCACCACGTGGGGGACCCCCTGCTGTAGGCTCTGCACACGCACCCTACATCCCTGAACACCCACCCCAGAGAGGGGAAACCTGAGTCGGTCTTCCCAGCTTATCTTAACGGGCACTCAGGCTTATAGGATCCTGCACAGACCAGGCGCGACACACAGATGCCTCCCAAGGGCCTTGAACTATGAGAAAAGGAGGAGGAGGAGACTGGATTTATACCCCGCCCAGGGTTGCCACTAAAATTTTATTTTTCATTTCCCTGACTTTCCCTGACCATCAGTCAAATATAACCACAAGTTTAAAAATGAAAAGGTCAACGCTCCCGCTAAGCTGTGGAGTCCTGTGAGCAAAAATTCTACTTTGTGAGCGACTGGCATTAGAGTTGTGAGCAGGTGATTTGGTTAAGTGCGCGGACTCTAATCCGGGAGAACCGGGTTTGATTCCCCACTCCTCCACATGCAGCTCCTGGATGACCTGGGGCAAGCCCTAGTTCTGATAACAGCTGTCCTTGAAAAAGAGCAGTCTCTGTCAGAGCTCTCTCAGCCCCACCTACCTCACAGGGGGTGTCTGTTGTGGGGAGGGGAAGGGAAAGGAGACTGTAAGCCGCTCTGAGACTCCTTTGGGTAGTGAAGGGCGGGGTGTAAATCCAATCTCTTCTTCTTCTCTTCTACTGCATAAATTAGTTTGCTCTGGAGCCCTCCTTCCTGAGCTAAAACAAGAATGTGTGAGCCGGAGGCTAAAAAACTGTGAGCTAGCTCACACTAAATCAGCTTAGAGGGAACACTGGTCGTATTGCATTCATGCAAGGTAAGGTTCCACTCTACAACTATACAAGTCTCAACTGCAAAAATATTTGTCAAAGAGATTTAATATCAGCTGCTTTCGACATTAACTGCAGCAACGTCTGTTTTGCAATTGCACCAAAAGTTACACCAAGATACAAATTTCAAGTCAACTCCGAATGCTAACAAATGACACGACATTTTTGTTATTGTTTTAAAGGTACACTAAAAAATTACATAAGCGTTCTATCTAAAAGGGTTGGGAAAGGGCATTATTGAGTTCTACTTGTATTCTGCTCCTTCTCTATTCCACTTGCCACAAGAACAGATCGTGGTCTTGCAGCGGCAGGTCAAAAATCCACTGCTTGAATATATTTTAATCACAATTCCCCTGACGACTTTCCCTGACTTCAGACCAATTCCCCTGGCTTTCCCTGACCAATTTTCATTTCCCTGACTTCCCCTGACTTTCCCAAAAGTGGCAACCTTGCCACCCTTCCCACAGAGTCTCAGAGCAGCTGATAATCTCCTTTCCCTTCCCCTCTCCACCACAGACACCCTGTGAGGAAGGCGGGGCTGAGAGAGCTCTTTCGAGGGCAGCCCGTGAGACGACAGCTCTGAGAGAACTGTGACTGACCCAAGGTCACACCAGCAGCTGCAGGTGGAGGAGTGAGGGATCACACCCAGTTCTCCCAGATTAGAGTCCGCGCTCCTCACCATGACACCGAACTGGCTTGATAATTGATAGATTAATAAATAAAAGGTACGAAGGATCAGCCAGAGGAAGGGAGGGCAGATGACCTAGCAGGCCCACCCCACTCCGCAACGCTCGGGCATTTTTCCCACTTGACAGATTGCTCAGCCCACCGGCCGAGGGGACAGAAGGGCTGGGAGAAAGCGTCCGGGCCGTACCTTTCCCTTTCCGCTGGGTGCCTGGAGTCAGCTTGACTTTGTATCTGGGGGAGGAAAGACACACAAGGTGAAGAGGGTGCCCGGTGCCTTGGGGCAGCGCCCCCCCCCCCGGGTCAGTTCATGGACGCCACTCACTTGTAGTTGGTCATGGTGGTGTACGGGGCGCAGAAGGGGACGGCAAACAGGAGGATGTCTTCAGGGTGGGGCTGCCCGGTCAGGGAGTCAAAGAGAGCCTCCGCCTCCTAGAAGAGAAGAGATTGGATTTATGCCCCACCCTTCACTTGAAGTCTCAGAGCGGCTGACAAACTCCTTTCCCTTCCCCTCCCCACAACAGACACCCTGTGAGGTAGGTGGGGCTGAGAGAACTCTGACAGAAACTGCTCTTTTTCAAGGACAGCTGTGCCAGAGCTTGTGACTGACCCAAGGTCACACCAGCAGCTGCACATGGAGGAGTGGGGAATCAAACCCAGTTCTCCCAGATGAGACTCCGCACACTTAACCACCACACCAAACTGGCTCTCTAGGGGAGCAGAGGAGAAAGAGGCCAAGTCTGGGGAGGGAACGAGGGGGAACGGTCGCCTGGCGCTGTCCTTCTCACCACCACCACCACCACCCCGGCCAGGGCCGTGTTGCTGGCTTGCTCCCGTGGTGCTGACTGTCTCCTTGGTACGACTGCTGTGTTGCAGAACTGCGTTGATCGCTTCCGAAGCTGTAGAAAGCCCACTGGGCAAGACGTCCGAAGCAGGCAGTGTGGAAGAAACTCCAGGAGCGGGAACCAAGAGCTCGGCTCGAGTCTGGCCGCAGCTTAGAGACCAACAAGATTCGTGGGGGATGAGCTCCCGAGAGTCGAGAGAGCTTTGAGGATCTTGTCGGTCTCCAAACGGCTTGCCGGACTCAAATCCGGCTCGTCTACTGCAGGCCGACATGGCTACCCTCTGAAGTGATCCTCACGGAAGAAAGGAAGGGGGAATCTTGGCATGACGCTGCAAGCCAAGCGGGAAGGGGCCATCTCCTCGATCCCACAATCTGGGACTCTGCCGCCTCGCCGCCCCCGCCGCCAACACCCCCAGGTCCGAGCTTCAGCAATAACGTGGCGCCTGACATTTGCCTTTTGTTATGAAAAGCTTGGTTGTTACTGAAGCCGGCTCGCAACTGTGCTTATAAAAAGCATGTATGAACCACTCAGACGCCTGCGATCTGTGCTGGGTGGGTGTGCACTTCTAGCCCTTACGACTCCAAAGATGCGCTGGTGTCAGCTATGCTGCCATGGGGGTTGGGGAGTTCATTCTGTGTCTTGGTAATTGTTATTGCATTCCTATCCCTGCTGTTCTGCCTCTGCTGAAACGCTTATCTCTACAGATGTGCAGGAGGATGTTGTGTTGTCTGGAGGACTCCTATGTACTGTGAGAGACTCCTGGTTCTCAGCTTTAGAAACCTGACGGTTGCCTGACTTATCCAGCACGCGGGAGGGTGCCTAATTGGCCCATGCCATGGGGTGGGTGGGTGCATAAAAAGGTAAAGGTAAAGGTTCCCTTGCTCAAAAGCCAGTCGAATCCGACTCTAGGGTTGCGGTGCTCATCTCCGTTTCCAAGCCGAAGAGCCAGCGCTGTCTGAAGACATTTCCGTGGTCATGTGGCCGGCATGACTGAACACCAAGGTGCACGGAACGCTGTTACCTTCCCACCGAAGTGGTACCTATTTATCTACTTGCAATTTCTTGCTTTTGAACTGCTAGGTTGGCAGGAGCTGGAACTAGAGACAGGAGCTCACCCCGTCTTGCGGCACCCGGGTCTTGAACTGCTGAACTACTGACCTTCCACAGCCTGCAGTTCAGTGTGTTAACCACTTGAGCCACCGCAGCATACGAACACCCTATATCCTATTATGCTCTATTGGTTGCCGCCATTCCTAACAGTGCCTGTGTTACTGCATCTATAGCTTTGCAATAAAAGTATAACCGTTCCTGAATGCGTGTACTTCGTTGTGAGCTGTGGGTTCTGACAGCTGGAGAGCGCATGGCTGCTACTGGCCTCTCAGAGCCTGGGATCTGCAGGTGGGGGTTCAGCACTCTCCCCCCGTGCCTGGCACAGACACAGAACCGATGACGCAAAGAAGAACGCAGAGCTGCTTATGTGCCCAGTTTATACTTCAAAGGATTTCGGGGCTTTTTGGTCGCAAGGGCTACCTGGGGAGGAGGGCAGGAAGCCAACTGAGATGGGAACGCCCTGTGCTCCCAAGCTAGGGTTCGGGGAGACCTCGTGCCTTGCCGAGGCTGCATATTTACCTCGCTGGCGTGCTGATCTTGGTCCTGCTCCTCCTGTGATGAAAGCACACAAAACGGTCAAGGAGAGAAAGAAGAAGAAAAAGAGACTGGATTTACATCCTGCCCTTCACTTGTAGTCTCACAGTGCCCAGACTCCTTTCCCTTCCCCTCCCCACAACAGACACCCTGGGAGGGAGGTGGGGCTGAGAGAGCTCTTTCGAGGACTGCCCTTGAGAGAACAGCTCTGAGACAACTTGTGACTGACCCAGCGTCACACCAGCAGCTGCAAGTGGAGGAGTGGGGAATCAAACCCGGTTCTCCCAGATTAGAGTCCGCGCTCCTAACCACGACACCAAAGGGTGCAGAGAAGCCTGGCTCGAGGGGAGTTCCTCTCTACCCCAAGCAAACAGTCCGGGAATCCAGGCCAAAAGCCAGCCCGCCCCTCCCCCAGCCAAAGGGAGACCTCTACCCCCACCGGCTCTCCACACCCAGCAGAGGGCCCACCACATAGAGCCCCCGGCAAGCTCCCGTGCACAAGCTTTCCCACAACACAAGAACTGCTTGTGGGCACGCAATGAAATTGCTGAGAAGTCAGGTTAGAATGGATAAAAGGAAGTCCTTCTTCAACCAAAGAGTGATTAACACTTGGAATTCACTGCCACAGGAAGTGGTGGCGCCTACAAGCATGGACGGCTTCAAGAGGGAATGGGATAAGCATATGGAGCAGAGGTCCATCAGTGGCTCTTAGCTACAAGTTATAGATAGGGGCTCTCAGTCTGGGGCAAGCGATACTCTGTCTTCTTGGTGCTTGGCCGGGGGAGGGGGGAACAGTGGGAGGGCTCCTAGTGTCCTGGCCCCACTGCTGGACCTCCTGAGGGCCCCTAGTGTTTTTGGCCACTGTGTGACCCAGAGTGTTGGACTGGATGGGCCACTGGCCTGATCCAACACTGACTTCTCATATGTTCTTAAGGTTTTGAGAGTCAAAAGGTCAGATGAAGGGAGCGCTGACTCTTGAAAGCTCATCTACCAGAAATCTCATCCACCAGAAATCCACTCCATGAAATTGCTGAGCGGTCGGGTTAGAACAGATAAAAGGAAGTCCTTCTTCACCCAAAGAGTGATTAACACATGGAACTCACGGCCACAGGAGGTGGTGGCGGCTACAAGCATGGATGGCTTCAAGAGGGAACTAGATAAGCATATGGAGCAGAGGTCCATCGGTGGCTATTAGCCACAAGGTACAGACAGGAACTCTTGGACTGGGGCAAGGGATGCTCTGTCTTCTTGGTGCTTGGCCGGGGGGGGGGAACAGTGGGATGGCTTCTAGTGTCCTGGCCCCACTGCTGGACCTCCTGAGGGCACCTGGTATTTTTGGCCACTGTGTGACACAGAGTGTTGGACTGGATGGGCCATTGGCCTGATCCAACATTGACTTCTCTTATGTTCTTAAGAGGGAATTAGATATAAAGTCTAAAGTTAAAATAAGCATATGGAGCAGAGGTCCATCAGTGGCTATCAGCCACAAGGTCTAGATAGGGGCTCTGGGGCAAGGGATGCACTGTCATCTTGGTGCTTGGGGGGGTCAACAGTGGGAGGGCTTCTAATGTCCTGGCTCCACTGCTGGACCTCCTGATGGCACCTGGTATTTGTGGCCACTGTGTGACAGAATATTGGACCCTGATCCAACACTGGCTTCTCTTCTGTTCTTATCGTGTTCACAACTGCAACAAGGGCAAATGCCCCATCCCGCCTCACCACACGGAAGCCGTCGCCGGCATTGGCAGGCAGGCTCTCCCCACCCCTGTGATCCAAACTTTGCATCCCTCCACCCACCCCTGGCAAGGTTAAAGCCACCTCCGTTGCTTTGGCCGGGCGCCTGGGAAGGGGACGTGGTGGACACAGGCCTGTGCGTCGGTCACCTTCCTCGGTCTGGCCTGGATGAGGGCCTGCCCATGAAGCCCTCTGGGGAGGCCCGAAGACATGGGGGGTGGGGGGCCCCCGGAGGGAGCAGAGTGGGGCCCCAGAGCAAGGGCAGGGCTCCCCCTCCGGTGCAAAAGGCCAAGACCAGTGAATCACTCACAGGTCGCCAGCAGCCCCTCCTGCCCAGACATGCGGAGCCTAAATGAAAACATCCTTGTGGGGCGCCCCCTGCTGGCTCACCTGGAGCTCAGCAATCTTTAGCGAAATATTATGTTTGTGTAAAGGGCTGTATTTGAACTTGCTTTTATACACGCATAAAACCTTAATTCATTCTAAATATAAGAACAGAAGAGAAGCCAATGTTGATCAGGCCAATGGCCCCTCCAGTCCCACACTCTGGGTCACACAGTGGCCAGAAATACCAGGGGCCACCAGGAGGTCCACCAGCAGGGCCAGGAGGACTCCAGAAGCCCTCCCACTGTTGTCCCCTGAATACACTTAACTGAAGATCAATTTACTGAATACACTTCAGTAAATTAAGTGTACTGAATACACTTAATCGAGGATCAATTTAAAATGATCAGGTCATTTTTACAATGGATGTTATCAAGAACGGTAAAAGAGCAAATTGTGTTTAGGGGACTCTTGGGTGATAAAGGTTGATAAGGGAAGTTCACTGAAAAATCATCACTCGTATTGAATGGATTTAATGGAAGAGTAAGTTTAAAACTTCAAGGCAAAGACTTATAGCAAAACAATAAGAAAGGATAAGGGACTCTGTATGCCAGTTTATAAATTTTATATATAACTGAAGACATATCTTAGAAAAAAATAGTAGAGTGTTTAAGCAATGCTTAAATAGAAGTAAAACATATATTGTTAAAGTATAGAGTTGCAAGAACTAGAGCTGGCTATACGGCAGCATTTACCTTCTCATCCGGTTCCTCCTCCAGAGCACCGTCTTCCAACTCGATGTGAGCTCCCTCCTTGACCCTGGCCGTCTCCGTCGCCCTCTGGCCTGCCCTCGGCTTCTGGGGCGGTTTCTTGGCGGTGTCGTCTTTCGTCTTCCCTCTCTTGCCTTTCTTTGGCTTCTCTTCTTTGACCGGCCCGGCAGACTGGATTTCGGCAGAAGAAGATGACGAAGAGATTGGATCTATGCCCCATGGCCTTTCACTACCCAAAGGAGTCTCAGAGCAGCTTACAGACTCCTCTCCCTTCCCCTCCCCACAACAGACACCCTGTGAGGTAGGCGGGGCTGAGAGAGCTCTGACAGAAACGGCTCTGTTTCAAGGACAGCTCTGAAATAACTTGTGACTGACCCAAGGTCCTCCAGCAGGTGCGAGTGGAGGAGTGGGGAATCAAACCCGGTTCTCCCAGATTAAAGTTAACCACGACGCCAAACTGACCAAAGAGGTCAGAATCCGGGACCTGACACACAACTCGCAACCCGACGAGCCGAGAGGTCCAGCCTCCTTACCCCCAGCAGTTTCATGATGAGCTCGCGGTCCTCCTCGTCCTGGTCTTTGTACTTCTCCTTCATCTTCTTCAGCTTGCTCTGGAGAAAAGAAGGGGCAGCGGGGGAGGAAGCTTAGCAAGAGATGCAAAGGAAGAGCGGTGAAAGCCGGTCTCCCTGGAGATGTGTGGCAGGAACACCGCCCGCTGCAAACATTCCCCCAACGCTACAAACTCATTGGTTACAAACTCATATGTCACTTTGACAGGCCGGGCCACCGTGTGCCATAAAACGTAATGCCAGGTATCGGAGATATAAACTCTATAAAGGACACAGGCAAACTCAATCAACGATATCATTTTTTACTCAAAATACAAACAGAAGCAATTTACTCCTAGCAGTGAAAGCAACCGATTTACAGGGGAGCCCACAAAAGCCCCAATAGATGTATTTAATCATCCCCCTCTGTTTAGCGCTGAAAATACTGATTGCCCTGTATATAAGAGAACAAAATGGACCCCGGCCCTTTCGACACCGATTCAGCACTGGATGCATAGTGATATTGGGATGCAACTAAACCAAAAGCTATCCTGTACTAAATCGCTAACAGAGACTCTCTTAGTTTATAATTCTATTGTTGATAAACGCAGTGGTTTTGCCCAACCGTTTGGCTGTAAGTCTGTGAAATGCTCAACTAATTCCTGGTTTGATGCTGCATGCCACCTAGCTAAAAAAGGTGACCCTAACCACTTAGAGAACTACAGACCCATTTGTCTCTTGTCTATTCTAGGGAAACATCTATGCCAAACATCTTCTTAAGAAATTATCTGAGCGGATGACTTCTCACAATTTACCAGGGAGAGAGCAAATTGGGTTTGTAAGAAACCACCCTACTTTACATCACTGTGCAGCATTATATTTTTTAGCTGAAAAATATCTTTGGCACCCTAGAGGCAAGCTAAACGTTGCATCTATTGATCTCCGTAGAGCCTTCGACTCAGTGGATGGACAGACTCTGTGGGGAAAATTACACAAATTGGATCTTGAGGAGGGGAGGTACAGGGGCGTGTGCCCCCCCACTTCATTATGGAAAATAATGGCAGCCCCGCCAGAAAAAAATGTTTTGCCCCACAAGCCGCAAAATCCTGGCTACGGGCCTGAGGGAGACCAACCAGACCAAAGGGAGGGAAGTCGGCCTGGTATAGCTTGACCTTGTCAAATCTCGGGAGCTCAGCAGGGTCGGTACCCGGAAGGGAGACCACCAAGGAAGGCTTTGCAGAGGAAGGCCGTGCCAAACTACCTCTGCTTCCCATTTGCCTGGAAAGCCCCTTGCTGGGGGAAGCTAAGCAGGTTCGGTACTTGGATGGGAGACCACCAAGGAAGTCTCCGCAGAGGAAGGCCGTGCCAAAATACCTCTGCTTCCCATTTGCCTTGACAGCCCCTTGCTGGGGGAAGCCAAGCAGGGTCGGTACTTGGAAGGGAGACCACCAAGGAAGGCTCTTGCAGAGGAAGGCCGTGCCAAAATACCTCTGCTTCCCATTTGCCTGGAAAGCCCCTTGCTGGGGCCACCATAAACTGGGAGCTAAGCAGGGTCAGTACTTGGAAGGGAGACCACCAAGGAACGCTCTGCAGAGGAAGGCCATGGCAAACCACCTCCGCTTCTCACTTGCCTTCGAAGCCCCTTGCTGGGGTCGCCAGAAGTCAGCTGTGAACTGACACCCACTTTAAAGTTGGGTATGTTTAGCCTGGGAAAGAAAAGGCTTAGAGGGGACATGATTGCAGTCTTCGAGTATTTGAAGGGCTGTCATGTAGAAGATGGAGCGGATCTATTATCTCTCGCTCCGGATTGCAAGACTAGATCTAATGGGTGGAAATTATAAGGGAGTCAATACCGGCTAAATATCGGGAGAAACTTCCTAACTGTCAGAGTGGTTGAGCAGTGGAACAGTCTGCCTCGGGAGCTGGTGGAGGCTCCTTCGCTGGACGTTTTAAAGGAGAGGCTGGACAACCATCTTTTGGGTAAGTTGTAGGTATGTAGGGCTATCTTTCGGCTGTGCTCCTGCAGAGTGCAGGGGGCTGGGCTAGATGACCTGCAAGGTCCCTTCCAACTCTAACATTCTATGATTCTATTCTCTCTTGCGCCAGATTGCAAGATTAGATCTAATGGGTGGAAATTACAAGGGAGTCGTTACCGGCTAAATATCGGGAGGATCTTCCTAACTGTGAGAGTGGTTGAGCAGTGGAACGGACTGCCTCGGGAGGTGGTGGAGGCTCCTTCGCTGGACGTTTTCAAGCGGAGGCTGGACGACCCTCTTCTGGGTATGTTGTAGGTAAGTAGGGCTATCTTTCGGCTGTGCTCCTGCAGAGTGCAGGGGGGTTGGACTAGATGACCTGCAAGGCCCCTTTCAACTCTCACATTCTATGATTCTTCCAATGAAACATAGCCCAAGAGACACCCAACTCCACCATTATTGCCTGTGCTAGTTATATATATATATATATACGACGAAGGTTGAGATGGCCGAGGTATGTAGTTGTGTAGGGCTATCTTTCGGCCGTGCTCCTGCAGAGTGCAGGGGGTTGGACTAGATGACCTGCAAGGTCCCTTCCAACTTTCTATGATTCTGTGAAACACAAACCAGACCAAGATCCACCTCGGTATTCCGCAGCACAGCCAACCCCTTCTGCCCCTTGGCAGGCAGGCGGAGAGACTGCAGAAGCTGAACGGGGCAGACAGATGTTTAGCTTGCCAGCTAGGCAATTCTGCCCACCTTTTGCCGCCTTTTGACCGGCTGCTGGGGGGCTGTGTTCTTGTTCCCCCCGGGAGGGGGCGGGAGCTGGGCCTCTTCCTCCGCCTTTCCCCTCGGAGGGTCCGAATCGTTGCCGGGGTCACTCGGTGGCTGCTGCTTCTTCTTCATCTCTCTGAGGAAAGACAGAATTCGTACGCTTTTCAGGGACTCCAAACAGGCACCAGACCTCCCTGACAGTTTCCAAATGGGACTTCAAACAGGGAGAAAAAGGAAAACGTCTGCTAGTCGTGATATGATCACCGTGACATTCGACAGTATGATGAACTAGGAGGAAGGCCCGTTGCCGGCCAAAATGCAACGAGCTTCTAGCAGAGGGCTTAGGTGAGCGTGGCGTCGTGGAGGAGGCGTGCTCCCCCCACTCCCGGAGCCCCGGACGCGCGCAAGGCGGCCCGCGGCCCCTGACCCACCTGGAGGCGTGGAGGAGCGCGGGGCAGAGTGCGCGCCGGTCCCCACCGAGAGCCACAGGCAGTCGGGGGCAGGACAGGCCACCTAGAGGCCACACCATCGCCAGAGCCAGCCCACGGCTCCTGACCAATGTTCCCTCTAAGCTGAGTTAGTGTGAGCTAGCTCACAGCTTTTTAGCCTCCGGCTCACACATTTTTGTCTTAGCTCAGGAAGGATGGAGCTCCAGAGCAAACCAATTTCTGCAGAAGCCAAATCGCTCGCTCACAATTTGAATGCCCGTAGGTCACAGAGTAGAATTTTTGCTCACAAGACTCCACAGCTTAGAGGGGACCTTGCTGCTGACAGAGGCAGACTGAGGGAGGGGCGGAGTAGCGTGGGTCTGGGCGAAGTAGCAAAGGCTGGCGTCAGGGCAGCAGGCGGCGCACCGCTGAGGCCGGATGAGCCGCCAGGGCGGGGGAGAAGGAGGCGAGAAGGCAGGGCGCCGGGCGAACGAGCCCTTTCGGCCACCGGAGCGCACGCTGCCTCTGCCGCCTGGCAGCTTACTGAGGCGGAAAGCCTGGGCTGGGAAGGATGGGTGGAAGGGTGTTGACAACACAAGGGCACGCAGTCACCAATGGATGGCGAGACCCTGCCAATGCAGCCACCAATGGATGGCCAAGACCTTGTGATCGACAGGTCTTCCTGGCCAAAGCCTGTGGGAGCGTGTTCCAGGACTCACATGAAACGAGCTTTATATATAAGAGAGATGGTGGTCAGTCTAGAGCGGGGTTAGGCTGCTCCCCTTAAAGAAAAGGGTGGCACCAGCAATCCCTGATCTGCTCCGACCACTGCCCCGTACTGCCTCCTCCGACAGCCAAGCCGATTATGTGTCTTGTCTTCTGACGAAAGAATGGTGCCGGCCTCGCAACAGGAGCACTTCTGGCATTCCCCAGTCACTTGTGAGCTTGTTCCTTGGGCCTCACTCTTGGCTGAGAAGCTGGAGGCTCCCGACACGTGAAGCAGACCTATTCTGAATTGGACCCTCGGTCCATCCAGGTCAGCATTGTCTACTCGGACTGGCAGCCGCTCTCCAGGGTTTACGGTGGAGGTCTTTTGCATCACCTACTGCCTGGTCCTGTGTTTAACTGGAGACACTGGGGATTGTGCTTGGGGCCTCCTGCATGCCAAGCAGATGCTTTGCCCCTCCCAAAACACACGTGAAGCTGCCTTCTACTGAATCAGACCATCGATCATCAAGGTCAGCATTGTCTACTCAGACTGGCAGCAGCTCTCCAGGGTCTCAGGCAGAAGTCTTTCCCATCACCTCCTGCCTGGTCCTTTTTAACTGGAGATGCCGGGGATTGAATCGGGGACTTTCTGCATGCCAAGTAGATGCTCTTCCACTGAGCCACAGCCTCTCTTTTCAGCTCTCAAGGGTCTCAGGCCGAGGTCTTTCCCATCACCTGCTGCCTGGTCCTTTTAACTGGAGATGCCTGGGATTGAACCTGGGACCTTCTGCATGCCAAACAGAGGCTCTGCCTCTGAGCCACGGCCCCTCTTTACAGCTCTCCAGGGTCTCAGGTGGAGGTCTTTCCCATCACCTCCTGCCTGGTCCTTTTAGCTGGAGATGCCGGGGATTGAACCTGGGGCCTTCTGCATGCCAAGCAGAGGCTCTACCACTGAGCCATAGCCTCTCTTTTCAGCTCTCCAGGGTCTCAGGCGGAGGTCTTTCCCATCACCTGCTGCCTGGTCCTTTTAACTGGAGATGCCGGGGATTGAACCTGGGGCCTTCTGCATGCCAAGCAGAGGCTCTGCCATTGAGCCACGGCCCCTTCCCTATGCAGCAGCAGCAGCAGCAGCAGCAGCAGCAGAGTTTGCCGAGGTCCCTGCTTACCTCCTCTCCTTGGCTGAGAGATGCCTCCGGCTCTGGGACTTCCCATCGCTCTGCAAATGGAAAGAAAATCAGAAGGGCTCTTCCTCCAGGTTGGCCAGCAAGCACTGCAGTCGTGTGGGCAAAGGACTTACTACGCTCGCGGTGTCCTCTCTGGGAGCCGATTTCAGCTGGGATCTGCAACAGGACAGAGAGAGCATTGGACACAGACACTGTACCCGAATATCTGCACCCCAGTCATCCCTAGAGGTGTAACATTTCCTGGAATTTTGAAGCCACAGGGAAAAAATGGGAGGGTTTTTTCCATCCCCCCCCCCAAATTTGCGTGGTCTTGGCACTATAGGACCTGACGTTTTGCCAGTAGCTGTGATTGGCATCCTCAGAGGTATAACACAGAAAGACGGAGTACTCTCTGTGTCAAGGTGAGAAGAAAAATGGCAGGCAGGTAATTTGTATCTACTTAGGAAGGTGGGGCAGGGCCGAGTCATTATCTTGTAGGAGTTCCCCAGGCTGTGAACATGCTAATGGAGGAGCTTTCCTGAGGAGGTTCTTTTGTATATGGATTGTTTCCTGAGGTTTCCTGTTACAAATAAATTACCTGCCTACCATTTTGCTTCTCGCCTTGACACAGAGAGTACTCCACCTTTCTGCGTTACACCTCTGAGGGTGCCAGTCACAGCTGCTGGCGAAACGTCAGGTCCTAAAATGCCAAGACCACGGTCACACATCCCGGAAAATCTACAGCAACTAATGAACTCCAGCCGTGAAAGCCTTCGACAACATATTGCAGGACAAGGTGTTTCTTACTGGGGAAAAAAATCATAGGAGGGTGTGTTTTTTCAATACTCTCCCAAATTTCCCAATTTTTCCACTGGAAAAAGCCCTCAGGCCTTTCCATGTTATTCCTTCGGAATGCAAAAACCCTTAAGCATTTTAATAATTCTTTTTTTCTTATTCATTTTTTTATTTGAAAGACATAACAAACACAAAAGAGGGGAAGTTATTCTTACAATTCCTTCTTGACAAACTCATGCCTAATTTAACATACATTTATATATTTCAACTTATATCATTATGTATATCGCTTGCAAATATATCAAAATTGTACTTTATATATCCTTAACAAGTGTTAAATGTCTACATAAATTACTTATTGTATTCTTCCAACCAAATGTGGTTTCTGGCTGTCCTTTCAAAGTTAGAGTTAATTTGTCCATTTCTACCACGCATTTTAATTATTCTTAGGAGGAAAATATTTCACAGGAGATTTTTTCCCCCAAAGCTCCCCCAATTTTTCCAGTCTGCTCAGAAAAAAACATGGAGCCCCCTCCCCCCAAAAAACTTTTCCGGATTTTTTTTCCTGGGCCTTTACACCTCTAGTTTCCCCCCTCCCAAATGCTGCCCTCCTTCCTTTTCCGTGCCCTCCTGCCTCATTTCATTACCTTTGGGACTGCAGGTGTGAGAGATCGATGGTCGTGTCTGGAAAACTGATCTCCTCCTCCTCCTCTTCTTGGGCCTTCTCGGCTGGTTCTTCAGCCTCTTCCTCTGAACTGGGGTTCTCCTCACTGGAGGACCCCTCTGAAGCCATGGCATCCCCTGCCCCATCCTCGCCGACCTCCGGAGACCGCCCTTCAACCGAGTCTTCCCCCTTCTCCGCCTTCTCCTTGGCCTCCCCTCCCTCGTCCTCATCGCTGCTGCTGACGTCGTCTTCCTCTGGAGCATCGGGGAAGACAGTTTGCAGAGAAAACGTTTCGTGAACACTCAAAAAGGGGGGAGGGGAAAAGACTGCAAACTGTGCCTTGGACTTAATACTTGGAGTGAGAAGAAGAAGAAGAGGAAGAGGAAGAAGAAGAGGAAGAAGAAGAGGAAGAAGAAGAAGAGGAGGAAAAGGAAGAGGAGGAAGAGGAGATTGGATTTATACCCCGCCCTTCACTACCCAAAGGTGTCTCAGAGCGTCTTACAAACTCCTCTCCCTTCCCCTCCCCACAACAGGCACCCTGTGAGGTGGGTGGGGCTGAGAGAGCTCTTGACAGAAACAGCTATTTTTCAAGGACAGCTCTGACAGAACTATGTCTTGCCCAAGGTCATCCAGCAGCTGCGAGTGGCGGAGTGGGGAATCAAACCTGGTTCTCCCAGATTAGAGTCCGCACTCCTCAGCATTCACGACAAAGGGAAGGGCCAGGGAAGGAGGCAGCAATCAGACTCAGGAGGGCCGGTGACATTTCGCAGCTCTGCAGGTATGTTTTTGCCTTGCTGAAGTTGCAGCTGGGATCCTCAGTCACCTTTTGGAAGTAAATTCCACTGAAAAATCAATGCCTTGCATGAAGAGGAAGAAGAGATGGGATTTATACCCCGCCCTTCACTACCCAAAGGAGTCTCAGAGTGGTTTACAAACTCCTTTCCCTTCCCCTCCCCACAACAGGCACCCTGTGAGCAATGTTCCCTCTAAGCTGTGGCATCGCGTGAGCAAAAATTCTACTTTGTGAGCTACTGGCACTAAAATTGTGAGCGAGTGATTTGGCTACAGCATAAATTAGTTTGCCCTGGAGCCATCCTTCCTGAGCTAAGGCAAAAATGTGTGAGCCGGAGGCAATATACCATCTAGATTAATTTAACTGCCGCCAGCACTTTTTATTTATAAAGTTTTTATTCGTGTGGTTAAATATTTGTGTAATTTTAATGTATTTATGCTTTTGTGGAAGCCGCCCTGAGCCCACTTGAGGGGAGGGTGGGGTACAAATTTGATAATAAATAAATAAATAAATAAATAAATAAATAAATAAAAAACTGTGAGCTAGCTCACACTGACTCAGCTTAGAGGGAACACTGCCTGTGAGGTGGGTGGGGCTGAGAGAGCTCTCTCGAGAAAAGAGAAACAATGATGTTGCCGACAGTCTAGAATGTTGTGGGATAAATTTTGCTGTCTCTCAGATTTCAGGAAGCCCATTTTTAAAAAATCGGCCACTTTTCAGGCTTCTTCACAACTCCTTACCAAAAGGAGGAATGGATTCACTTTCGGCGTCTGAGTTGGCCCACTGTTTCTCCCTCGGCCTACAACTGTCCTCCTGATCAATGTTCCCTCTAAGCTGTGGAGTCCTGTGAGCAAAAATTCTACTCTGTGAGCAACTGGCATTAAAGTTGTGAGTGAGCGATTTGGCTGCTGCAGAAATTAGTTTGCTCTGGAGCCATCCTTCCTGAGCTAAGGCAAAAATGTGTGAGCTGGAGGCTAAAAAACTGTGAGCTGGCTCACACTAACTCACCTTAGAGGGAACACTGCTCCTGATGGTGCTACCTCTAAGCCAGTTTGGTGCAGTTGTAAAGAGCTGCAGACTCTAATTTGGAGAACCGGGTTCGATTCCCCCCCTCCTCCACATGAAGCCAGCTGGGTGACCTTGGGCCAGTCACAAGTTCTCTCAGAGCTGTTCTCTCAAGAGCAGTTCTCAGTCAGAGCTCTCTCGGCCCCACCTACCTCAACAAGGCCCCTGTTGTGAGGAGAGGAAGGGAAGCGGATTGTAAGCCACCAAGTGATTGTAAGACTGCAAGTGAAGGGTGGGGCATAAATCCAATCTCTTCTTCTTCTTCCCTTAAAGGGAAGTGCTGTGGCTCACTGGCAGAGCATTGGCTTGGCATGCAGGAGGCCCCAGGTTCCGCCCCCAGTGCCTCCAGCTGAACGAGCCAGCTGCAAGATAATGGGAAATACTTTGCTCTAAGATCCTGGAGAGCAGCTGCCAGTCTGAGTGGACAATACCGACTCTGATGGGCCAAGGGCCTGATTCAGTTTGAAGCAGCTCCGTGCGTTCTTGTATTATACAGGAGGGGCCGTGGCTCAGGGGCAGAGCTTCTGCCGTCCATGCAGAAGGTCCCAGGGTCAAACCCCGACGTCTCCAGTGAAAAAGGACTGGCAGTAAGGGAGGTGAAAGGCCTCTGCCTGAGACCCTGGAGAGCGGCTGCCAGCCTGAGAGGGCAACACTGACCTAGATGGCCCATCGACAGACCAAAGGTCTGATTCAGTATAAGGCAGTTTCACGTGAGCTGGAATAGGTTCCTTCCCCAAAAAGCCTCCATGAAAAGACAGGGCGAATGCATGGCTTTATTGAAGGAAACCCTGTCTACGTTTAACACATGACTGTGCCCTGCGTTTGATCAGTGCACGCTTCCAGGGGTCATTTCCTGCAGGAGCGCACAGGAGTGGCGCTCCGGCAGTAAAGAGCCCAGTGGGCGGGCACATGCAACAAGCCCCACCCCCTGCTCCCAGCAGCCCTCAGCCAGAGCAAGAAGCAGGCAGGTAAGTTGCAGAGCCCCTCCACAGCCCCACGGCCCAAAAGAGTCCAGTGGCACCTTTAAGACCAAGTTTTATTCAGGTACCAGCTCTCCCTCCTCTGCGAGGACAGATCTGCACGTCCCCCCCCCCAATAGCTAGCAATCCAAAACAGTCCAGTGGAGCCTGAGCGGTGGGTGTTGCCTTCTTCTGACACACTTCCGGTGATGTCAGGGGGTGTGGCATAGGCAAATAAGTTACGCTAATGAGTTATGCTAATGAGCTCCTGCGCCTCTTTTTCTACGAAATGACCCCTGCGCGCTCCCAATCTAGCCCTTCGAGCTCAGCCTTTTCGCAAGCGTACCGAGGGGTGCCGTTTCTTCGGCTGCCAGCTCACTGGTGCTGGAGGTGACGGTCTCCATGTCTTCGTCCTGCACTTTGACCTTCCGCTCACCTTTGTGTCTCCAAACGCAAGAGTCGTCCGCCTGAAGGAGGAAAGAGAAAGGTTTGTTTTCATCCGAAAATGGCAACCCGGCAATCACCAGTCATGGGAGGGACCAGAAAGGATTCCTGAAGCATTTACACACACAAAACGTATTGGCCTTCTGTACTGGAATTACCACTGCGTGCTGGGAAGGGCGAGATAAAAATCCAATCAATCAATCAATGAACGGGTGGCAGCTACAAGCATAGACAGCTTCAAAAGGGGGCTGGATAAACATATGGAGCAGAGGCCCATTAGCCACAAGGGATCGAGGGAACACTCTGTCTGGGGCAAGGGATGCTCTGTCTTCTTGGTGCTTGGGGGGGGGCAACAGTGGGAGGGCTTCTGGTGTCCTGGCCCCACTGGTGGACCTCCTGATTGCACCTGGGTTTTGGCCACTGTGTGACGTGGAGTGTTGGACTGGAAGGGCCATTGGCCTGCTCCAACATGGCTTAAGAACATAAGAGATGCCAATGTTGGATCAGGCCAAAGGTCCATCCAGTCCAACACTCTGTCACACAGTGGCCAAAAATACTTTTCTCCATTTCTCACAATACAAGAACTCATGGGCACTCCATGAAATTGCTGAGCGGTCGGGTTAGAACGGATAAAAGGAAGTACTTCTTCACCCAAAGAGTGATTAACACTTGGAATTCACTGCCACAGGAAGTGGTGGCGGCTACAAGCATGGACGGCTTCAAAAGAGAATTAGATAAGCATATGGAGCAGAGGTCCATCAGTGGCTATTGGCCACAAGGTATAGATAGGGGCTCTGGGGCAAGTGATGCTCTGTCTTCTTGGTGCTTGGGGGGGGGGTCAACAGTGGGAGGGCTTCTAATGTCCTGGCCCCACTGGTGGACCTCCGGAGGGCACTGGTATTCTGGCCACTGTGTGATACAGAGTGTTGGACTGGATGGGCCTTTGGCCTGATCCAACATTGGCATCTCTTATGTTCTTATGTTCTTAAAATACCAAGTGCCATCAGGAGGGCCACCAGTGGGGCCAGGACTTTATGTTCTTATGTCTGGGGCAAGTGATGCTCTGTTTTCTTGGTGCTTGAGGGGGGGGCAACAGTTAGGAGGGCTTCTGGAGTTCTGGCCCTACTGGTGGACCTCCTAATGGCTCCTGGGTTTTGGCCACTGTGTGACAGAGTGTTGGACTGGGTGGGCCATTGGCCTGATCCAACATGGCTTCTCTTATGTTCTTATGTCTGGGGCAGTGATGCTCTGTTTTCTTGGTGCTTGGGGGGGCAACAGTTGGGAGGGTTTCTGGAGTCCAGCCCCACTGGTTGAACTCCTGAGGACCTCTGAGTTTTGGCCACTGTGTGACACTGAGTGCTGGACTGGATGGGCCATTGGCCTGATCCAACATTGGCTTCTCTTATGTTCTTTTAAAAATCATACATAATCAATTTTAATATCATCACGTACATTGCAATCGTATGAAACAATATTCAGTTTGAAAGTCAGCCGACATACATTCATTTGTAGCTAGCAGACCACACTATTTTATGCTTTACTCTCTACTACTAAATTTAAATCCCTAATTAAAGCTTGCCAACTCTCTTCTCCATACCTGATATTCCCCAAACAATGCAGGGCAGATGGCTTTACCATTCACAAAGTATCATAGACTTTTAACACAGCCATTCTTTCTTATTAGGCAGGCGCTGGGTCGTCCAATACCTAGCAAAAAGTATTCTTGCCACTGACAACAAATTTAGCACCATCCAGCCTCCCATGAGCAACTGGGACAATTTCAGTGCAATTAAGTAAAAAAAAAATTCAGAAGAATCATGGTCCAGATTTCATGAATAACTTTAGGAACCATTTTCCAGAAAATCTCCACTCTGCCACACCCTCACCGGGTATGCTGGGCCAGCTTTTTCCTATAGACTAAACCAACATCTATGACTTAAAGGTAAAGGTTCCCTTGCTCGAAAGCCAGTCGAGTCCAACTCTAGGGTTGCGGTGCTCATCTCCGTTTCAAAGCCGAAGAGCCAGCGCTGTCCGAAGCCGTTTCCGTGGTCATGTAGCCGGCTTGACTAAACACCAAGGCGCACGGAACGCTGTTCCCTACCTATTTATCTACTTGCAATGTCTTGCTTTCGAACTGCTAGGTTGGCAGGAGCTGGAACTAGAGACGGGAGCTCACTCCGTCATGCGGCAACCCGGGTCTCGAACTGCCGAACTACCGACCTTCCACAGCCTGCACTTCAGCGTCTTAACCACTTGAGCCACCGCAGCTCCTATGACTTACTCTGTTGCTAAGTTTAGATAGCCCGCTTTCATTAGATCTTGGAAGCTAAGCAGGGTTCGCCCTGGTTAGCACTTGGATGGAAGACCACTAAGGGAGTCCAGGGTTGCTACACATAAGGCAGGCTGTGGCGTTCTCTCTTTAGGGAGGACTGGTTTTCCCTTTAAGTGTGCTCTTTGCTTCTGTAAACGGGGTAGATTCGGCTGCCACCAAGAATTTAAGGATTTCCAAACCTTCTCTCTGTTTCTTTTGCTGGTAAAGTGACCTAGAGTCGGGGGCTGGATCTATGTGGTCCTGAGGAAAGACAGAACTAAATTCGGGGATAAACTTGAACAAGAGATGATTTGTTGAAGTAAGAACAAGATATGAGGTTGGTTATTCTGTAACTATCTTGGATAAAGGGATATTTTCATGTCTGTCAAATGTATCACACACACAGTCTTTTTTTCCCTTTACTTTTTGTTTGTTTTGACACTCAGTTCCAACATACACAGGAGTCACTCTTTCAGTCAGCCACTCAGGCTAAGGACATATATATTCTGCACTCTTTAAGAACTCACTCAGAACTAACTGAACACTCGCTGACTTAACTCTCTAACTGAACAATCCCAACCGATTTCCAACTGTCTCTCATAACTGACACACCCACACAGATTCACTTCAAAAACCCCTCCCACACTCTGTCATCCAGCAGTCACAGCACATCTGTCTCTCTCAATCACTCTAGTCCACTAACCATGCACTCCAACCAAGCATTTAAAGGCACACACATACTCATAAAACAAGGAATCATTACACAGGCAATGGCAAATCACCTCTGACTGTCTCTTGCCTTGACCTGAATGGCCCAGACTAAACCCTGATCTCATATGTGGGAAGTTAAGCAGGGAGGGTCTGAGTTAGTATTTGGATGGGAGACCACCAAGGTAATCCAGAACTATCTAGACTTCCTTGGTGGTCTCCCATCCAAGTACCAACCGGGGCCAACCCTGCTTAGCTTCCGAGATCTGACGAGATCGGGCTTGCCTACGCCATCCACGTCAGGGCAGTAGTATTTACTTTACTATACTCAGAGCGAACCCTATGCAATTACAGAGAGGTACCTCTAGCTAGGAGACAGAGGACCTGGTCCTAGGTAAACTGATTAGATGCCCAGGGTCCCCTAAGTGCATGACTACTTCTGAATCAGCAACAAACACACGGGAAACACGGCAAAGTTAGACAAACGTAAAGAAACACCGTGTTTAGAACAAAACACACTCTACTAATATCCACTTGTGTCTTCCTATATTGATTTAAATAGAGACCCTGGTGTATCTTATAAATATTCATATAGTACAAAAACCTAAAGAACATTATATATCTACTAATAGAAAAGTCCACAGCTACAGAGACCTAGCCCAATGCTGTAGACCAGTGTTCCCTCTAAGCTGACTTAGTGTGAGCTAGCTCACAGTTTCTTAGCCTCCGGCTCACATATTTTTATCTTAGCTCAAGAAGGAGGGCTCCAGAGCAAACTAATCTATGCAGTAACCAAATCGCTCGCTCACAACTTTAATGCCAGTCGCTCACAAAGCAGAATTTTTGCTCACAAGACTCCACAGCTATCTTGCTCCTGATATGAGACTGATGCAGGCTGCAACAGTCGTAAATGATGAGAGATGCAGCAGGCTGTTATATTCTCCACAAAAGGTGATTCCGCAAGCATCAAAGCAAGCAACCAGGCAAAAACTGCGTGTTTCGACAGATTCTTCTTCAGGCAGACTTATTTTCCCTGGAACTAAAGCTCACAGTGCTACAGTGCACAAGTCAGCAATTCTATAGAGGGCTTCTCCGGTTCTCCATGAATCAGGCGTGACCAGAGACCTCCAAGGGAACCACCGTCGAGGGGGGCACCGACACAGTCCTCTAGTACGGATTATCCCATCGCCTCCCAAAATAAACAGAAGTCACCAACTGAAGGCACGATACCTTAAATAAGAAGCTGAAGCCCATCATCAGATAGGAAGGAGGGAGGAAATTCTTTTTCCCTGGAAAAGGAGAACACAGGATCAAGGATATGCGCATTCCGTAATTCTGCCCAGCAATGGCGGAATTTGGTCCTGGGTACTGAACCGCGTCCCCCCCCCCCACCTTAGAATCTCTGCCTGCCACGACACAAATCAGAATGGCTGGGAACTTTTGGGTGACAGGTCTCACCTTACCTGCGGTGTGGGGCTGCTGCCTCCTTGTTGGGACACGTGATTTGCACGCATGGCACAATGACATCGCCGGTAGTGACATCATCACGCTAAAGCCATTGTGTGGCAACGCTCTAGCGTTCAGGGCAAAAACTCTATGGTAACCATAGAGTGTCCCCCACACACACACTGAATACTAGAGCGTCACCATGCAACAGCCCCAGTGTAGTATGAATGGGAATATAAAGATTTTCATATATAGGTTTTTTCTTCTTGATTGTTCATATTCATATTTCTCTGGTTTTTATAGATTTGTTCTTTAAGTAATATTTTATTAGGATGTTAGAAAGGCCTGTTATATAGAAGGCTTTCCTCTTGTAGGTTAACAGACAACATAATAGGTACAAAGTTTATGATTCTGTAGTTCTTAGGGCAAACCTTTCAATGCCTGGGTCAGATAAGATTTTAATCTGATATGAAGAATCCTTGCCCATTATCATTTAGGTTAGGTTAAGTAAACACTTAGTTTGACGTAGATATGTTTCTTTATATCTGGCCAATCAGAGGATTATTACTCAAATTACCACTGTCTTTTGTAAGCAATTATGCTGTTTGAATATTGTTTTCTTGATTATGTCAGTCCATGTATAAAATATCATGTATTTCCTGAATAGGTTCAGAATATGCTCAAGAAGAAGATGAAGAAGAAAAAGAAGAAAGTTGTCAATTGTTGGTTAACTATTTGGTCTAATTGTTTCCCTATTAATTGAGGCATTTTTCCTGATTATGCTGAGAAGAAAGCAGTCAGTTTTGATGGGTCCTTTGGCCTGTTTTCCATATTTCATTACAATAAAATACAAGAACTTCCTCCTCATTTTGACTTCATTTTTGACATGGAATCTAATATGTACAACACAAGTGAGATGACATCACTACCAGTGAAGTCACTGCATCAGCGGCATCCCCGTGAGACACTGCTGTCTGGGGATAGGGCTTCCCCTGCCGGCCAGCTGGTAAGTGGTGGATTGGGGCCCCTGAAATTGGGGGGTCCCCTGGCCCGACCGGCGGGATAACAACCCTCTGAGGACTCCAGCCTGTCTGCCCCCAGGGAGTTTTGCCTGGCAGGACCTGAGGAAGGGGCACCTGAGCCCCAGGGAGTCCTTACCTCTAATCATGAAGCTTCCAGTGGTCAGATACTCTCCAGTGGGGGCAGTTTTAGACACCTGCAAGGAATTTAGCCAGAGATGTTAGAAACACAGGGCTGGGAGGGGTCTCCAGGGGTCATCCAGTCCAACCCCCTGCGCAACGCGAGAAATTCACAAATACCTCCCTCTCTCCACTCCCCCAGTGGCCCCTGCTCTGTGCCCAGATGTTGATGAAACACGTTGTTATTTGCTATGGTGATTAGACAAAGACACACAGAGAGAAACACCCATGAAGGCTACGGCCATTCCCGGAGGCTGGCAAAAGCCCTGCGTCTGACAACCAAACCAGTGGTGGGGACAGGAGGAAGGGCCTTTTCGTTGGCGGCCCCACGAATATTGAGCAACCTCCCCGGGGAGGTGCGCCTGGCCCCCTTTACTTTCCATCGCTAAGGAGGCAGCTGAAGGCGTTTTTATTCAGGGCTGCACTTGATCAACGCACTCCAAAATCGTAATTTTAAATGTTGGTTTTATGTAGGGCTGCATTCAGCAAGGTTTACGAGCTGCCAGTGTTCCCTCTAAGCGGAGTGAGTGCGAGCCAGCTCACAGTTTTTTAGCCTCCAGCTCACAGCGTTTTGCCTTTGCTCGGGAAGGGATGGGGCTCCAGAACAAACTAAGTTATGCAGCGGCCAGATCGCTCACTCCCAACTTTAATGCCAGCAGCTCACAAAGTAGAATTTTTGCTCGCAAGACTCCACAGCTTAGAGGGAGCGCTGCTAGCTGCCCTGAGGTGGTTTTAAATGTTGGCTTTCATGTATTTCATTTTGTGTGTGTTTTATCTGTGCTGCGAAGCTGCCTGGAGTGCCGTAAGGAAGGAAGACGCCTAATAAATGCGTAAGACAAAACAAAATAATCAGAAATTTTAAAAACCTAAAAAGAAAAGAAATACAAGAAAGCAAAATAAACCAGGTCCGGCCAGGATGACCACCTACTTCTCACAGACATATCCCACCTGGGAGCTCTTCCCAAAGGATGGGGTACATATGTCGATGAACACTGTCCCCTGCTTGACATAATGGTGCAGAATATGGTAGCATCATGCGACTTTCAAACCACATGTGTAGCGAACACACGTCAGGTGAATGCCTGCTAGAAGCAGAGAACACCTTCGTGCCATTAAAGGCTCCGAGGTAAAGGCTCTAAGAGAGCGCAGAAGAAGAAGAAGAGATTGGATTTATACCACGTCCTTTACTTGGAGTCTCAGAGCGGCTTTACTTGGAGTCTCAGAGAGCCAGTTTGGTGTAGTGGTTAAGTGCACGGACTCTAATCTGGGAGAACCAGGTTTGATTCCCCACGCCTCCACTCACACCTGCTGATGTGACCTTGGGTCAGTCACAAGCTCTGGCACAGCTGTCCTTGAAAAAGAGCAGTTTCTGTCAGAGTTCTCTCAGCCCCGCCCACCTCACAGGGTGTCTGTTGTGGGGAGGGGAAGGGAGAGGGGTTTGTAAGCCGCTCTGAGACTCCAAGTGAAGGGCGGGGTATAAATCCAATCTCTTCTTCTCTTCTTCTTCTTCTTACAAACTCCTTTCCCTTCCCCTCCCCACAACAGACACCCTGGGAGGCGGGTGGGGCTGAGCGAGCTCTTGACAGAAACTGCTCTTTTTCAAGAACGGCTCTTATCAGAACTACGGCTTGCCCAAGGTCATCCAGCAGCTGCAAGTGGAGGAGTGGGGAATCAAAGCAGGTTCTCCCAGATTAGAGTACACGCACTTAACCATGACACCAAACTGGCTCTCTGAGAGAGCGCAGAACAGTACGTTTGACTGTCCGTCTGAAGACATTTCCGTGGTCATGTGGCCGGCATGACTAAACACCAAGGCACACGGAACGCTGTTACCTTCCCACCGAAGTGGTACCTATCTTATCTACTTGCAATTTCTTGCTTTCGAACTGCTAGGTTGGCAGGAGCTGGAACTAGAGATGGGAGCTCACTCCGTCATGTGGCACACTCGGGTCTCGAACTGCTGAACTACTGACCTTCCACAGCCTGCAGTTCAGCGTCTTAACCACTTGAGCCACCGCAGCTCCTGTACATCATTACAGCTTCTATATTCTTGGTTTTCTACACTAGCTGTAACCCCTCAGTTTTGTTAGTTGGCCACTGTGTGAGACAGGAAGCTGGACTAGGTGGACCCTCACTGGTCTGATCCAGCAGCCATCTTCAGATGTTCTAATGAAGACTTTGGCTTCTATGCCTTCCAGAGGAACATGCTGGCCACTGTGCAAGAGCAGGGCCAGACTAGATGGACCACCCATATGATCCAGGAGATGTCTTCTTATGGTCCTCACTGGCCTTTAACTTATACCCTGGAAGAGTGTGTTGGTCTTTAAGGTGCTCCTTAAAGCCAGTTTGGTGTAGTGGTTAAGTGCGTGGACTCTAATCTGGGAGAACCAGGTTTGAGTCCCCACTCCTCCACTTGCACCTGCTGATGTGACCTTGGGTCAGTCACAAGCTCTGCCACAGCTGTCCTTGAAAAAGAGCAGTTTGTGTCAGAGCTCTCTCAGCCCCACCCACCTCACAGGGTGTCTGTTGTGGGGAGGGGAAGGGAAAGGAGTTTGTAAGTCGCTCTGAGACTCCCAAGTGAAGGGCGGGGTATAAATCCAATCTCTTATCTTCTTCTTCTTCTTCTCCTCCTGGCCTTAAAGTTTGCTCTGTATTGAAAGAGTCGTTTTCCAGGCAAGCCTGAGAGCCGCGCCCCGAGGCCTTATTACCTGGTGATGATACACCCACCAGGCGCTAGTGACGACACGGGCCTCCCAAGCCGCACTGTAACACAGAGCCATCGTGCCTGCCTCCATGAGCGTCCGAGGTGGGATGGGGGTCCCTGGAACGGCAGCGGCGGAAGCAGGTTAATGTTAAGACGGAGAGAAGCCAAACTGCTACCAACAGCCACTTGTGGGGGTGGGGAGGAGGACCAAGCAGGAAGTTTAGCCCTGTAAACTAACAGGCACACAAACAGTTCCTGCTGCCTTCCACTTTTTCAACCAACGTATGATTACCCTCAGTTTGATCACTTAAGCTTCTAGGGAGATTTCAGGCTCAAACTCCAACGATCTTGTTGGTCTCTAAGCTGCTCTATCCATCCATCCATCCATCCATCCATCCATTCATCTATCATCTATCTCAGTGGTAGCGAACCTATGGCACGGGTGCCAGAGGTGGCACTCAGAGGTCTCTCTGTGGGCACACATGCCATCGCCCCAGCCAGGCCCAGACCATCATTAAAGTGTCGAATTCTCTGCCAAATAAATGAAAGCATTTGGGATTGCTTCCCTTACTTTGTTTGGATCATCTTAAATTAATGTATGAGTTGTTTTTTCTAAAGTAAAACCTCAGTATTCAGGTTAAATGGCCGTGTTGGCACTTTGCGATCAATAAGTGGGTCTTGGGTCGCAGTTTGGGCACTCGGTTTCTAAAAGGTTTGCCATCACTGATCTATCTAATCTAGCCATCCATACATCATCTGTCTAATCTATCATCTATCTAATCTATCTGTCTAATCTAGCCATCCACCCATCCCTCTAGCTATCATCTATCTAATCTATCCCTCCATCCATCATCTATCATCAATCTAATCTATCTATCTAATCTATAATCTAATCTAGGGGCGTTGTACTCATTTGTTACGAGGGCCGGATCTGACATAAATGAGACCTCGTTGGGCCGGGCCATGTGTGTCATAAAAGGTTATGCCAGGTAGCGGAGATACAAACTTCATAAAGGGCACAAACACAAAGGGTTTTTTCCACTTAAAATAAAAACATGCTTAAAACATGAGCACTCTGGGAATATTTTGTTTATTTAACAGTGTCTGATAACTGGACCCTCTTGCTCTGAATTACTGCATCAAAATGTCTGTGCTGTTGCAGACTTGAGTATACTGCTCAGGTGTGTACCTGTAAGCTGCAAACCTACGATGACGCAGCAGCAGCAGAACTGGAAGAAGAAGCAGAAGACAGCCAGCTCCATTGCGGGCCTGAGAGAAGCCCTCCGGGGGCCTGATCTGCCCCCCCGGGCTGCATGTTTGACACCCCTGATCTATCATCCATCCATCATCTCTCTATTATCTATCTAATCTATCCATCCATCATCTATCTATCAAATCTACCTATATAATCTATCCATCCATCCATCCATCCATCCATCCATCCATCCATCCATCCATCCATCCATCTGTGGCTGTTTTTCTGGGGGAACGTTTACAAGTTCATTAGTTTTCAGTATACAGATTGAAAACTTCATTTCCCTCTTGAGAGTTCTAGCATCTCTTTAATTTAAAAAGCTGTCTGTCTGTCCGTCCGTCCGTCCATCCATCCATCCATCCATCCATCCAGGGGTCATTTCCTGCGGGAGCGCACAGGAGCGGAGCTCCGGCAGTAAAGAGCCCTGGGGGCGGGCACATGCAACAAGCCCCGCCCCCTGCTCCCAGCAGCCCTCAGTCAGAGCAAGAAGCAGCTAAGCAGCTCTTTTTCTACAACATGACCCCTGGCGGTGACGCATGAAAGCTCCTCCCCTGCCACAAACTTTGTCAGTCTTTCAGGCGCTCCTGGACTCTGGCTTTTTTCTGCTGCTACAAACGGACCAACGTGGTGACCCATCTTGATCCATCCCCGATGATCCCAGTGCCCCAGTTATTCCAGCCCACTTCCCCAGAGGAGTCACCTGTTGGGTTCTTGATGACGCAGCTGGTGGCTCCGTGGAGATCAGCGTGGACGTAGATGTCGCCTTGCGTAGGGGAGGAGACACAAGAGAGATCAGTGGTGATTCTCAGAGCAACTGGCAAGATGCACTTCTGTCTCCCTAGGACATTTCGATCCCACCCTCTTTCAGGGCATCAAGCACAGGTCGCCCCTTCCTATGTTCGCTTTGAAACCGCCCTGTGAAATTTCTTAGCCTGAGCGAGCGACATGGACCTTGCGTGCAGGACCAAGGCAAAGACTCCATAGCAGTCCTCCCTGTGGGGGCGCTGACTACAGTCCCACGGTTATCCCAGCCCAATAACAACACCCGTCTCAGCCACCCAGATGGGTTGAAAAGAAATAAAAATCAATTCCCTTTCCCCATCCTGCCGCTACACTCAGGATAGTTACCAGGCAAAGGCCCTGATTTCGACGGCCCAGGCTAGTGATGCTCTGTCTTCTTGGTGCTTGGGGGGGGGGGCTCCTAGTGTCCTCCTGGCCCCACTGTTGGACCTCCTGATGGCGTCTGGTATATTTTGGCCACTGCGTGACGGAGTGTTAGACTGGATGGGCCATTGGCCTGATCCAACATTGGCTTCTCTCATGTTCTTATGAATTGGATAAACATCTGGAGCAGAGGTCCATCAGTGGCTATGAGCCACAAGGTATAGATAGGAACTCTGGGGCAAGGAATGCTCTGTATTCTTGGTGCTTGGGGGGGGGCAACAGTGGGAGGGCTTCTAGTGTCCTGGCCCCACTGCTGTACCTCCTGATGGCCCCTGGTGTTTTTGGCCCCTGTGTGACAGAGAGTGTTGGACTGGATGGGCCATTGGCCTGATCCAACATTGGCTTGTCTTATGTTCTTATGTTCTAACCTCATCAGGTCTGGGAAGCTAAGCAGGGACGCCAGGAAGTCCAGGGTCACTCACTACAAATGCTCCCTCTCAGCTGTGGAGTCTTGTGGGCAAAAATCCTACTTCGTGAGCAAGCGATTTGTGAGCAAGCGATTGGGCTGCTGCATCAATTAGCTTGCTCTGGAGCCCTCCGTCCTGAGCTGAGACAAAAATGTGTGAGCCAGAGGCTGAAATACTGTGAGCTGGCTCGCACTAATTCAGCTTAGAGGGAACACTGCTCACTACACAGAGGCAGACCATGGCCAAGCACTTCTGTTGGTCTGGTCTGACCTGGATGGCCCAGGCTAGCCCAATTTTGTCAGGTCTCGGAAGCTAAGCAGGGTCGGCCTTGGTTAGTACTTGGATGGGAGACCATCGAGGAAGTCCAGGGTTGCTATGCAGGGGCAGGCCATGGCCAACCACCTCTGTTCATCTGCCCTAGTCTGATCTCATCAGATCTGGGAAGCTAAGCAGGGTCGGCCTCGGTTAGTACTTGGATGGGAGACCACCGAGGAAGTCCCAGAGTCACTGTGCAGAGGCAGGCAGTGGCAAACCCACCTCTGAACGTCTCCTACCTTGCAAACCCCACTAGGGGGCGCCATAAGTCAGCTGTGACTTGATGGCCTTTTCCTCCACACACCCCCGGGCAAACGCCCCATCCCGCCCCACCCCAGGGTTCCTCTTGGGGGGGGGGTCTCATGTGCATGCCCCAGCCTCCCCCTGGACTGACTCACGGGGAGGACATAACGTCTCACGCGCTACATGGCGGCTCACCTGGCCTCAGGTGCCTCTTGACGATCATTTCGTTTTGCTGCTGGTCTCTTCCAGCTATAACAAGGTAATTTTCAGAGCTAATGAACCACAGGAATTTCTCAAACCTGTCAGATCACATCAAGCCATCAAGACAGGAGCAAAAACGTGGGCACAACAGGAAAAGGGTTATTACAGAGGTCTTGGCAGGGGCACCCCCCTCTGGATAGTAGAAACGCCCACCCCACCCCACCGTCTGCTGACCTGTTCAAAACCACGGGGGGTGCCCAGAATACATTCTGCTTTGGCTCCAGTGAAGAAGGGGAAGGGAGGTGGACCAAGGCGGCCTCTTCTCGGGGAGGGGGGGGGGCTGCCGGCACATTTGGAAGATCCAACCCACCCTCCGTGGGCAACAAGCTGAGATGTCACTGCGAAGTGGGTGGAGCTACTGGGGGAAACGGCAGAAGGCCTATCGAAACTACGGCCAGCCCCCAAAAAAAACCCCCCATACTTTCTAAACACTGCAGGGCTCTTTTTGTAGAAAAAGCCCAGCAGGAACTCATTCGCATAATAGGCCACACCCAACAGCAGAAACCCATTAGCATATTAGGCCACACCCCCTGACAGCACCGCTCATGAGCACATTAGGCCGCATTCCCATGTTACCAGAAGTGTGGTTATCCAGCCACACCCACCTTTTGCTTCTTATTCTGTTTACCTTGTTTGTTGTCAAAACCCAGGGCATTTTTTTGGGAGCAGGAACTCCTTTGCATGTTAGGCCACACACCCCTAATGTAGCCAATCCGAATGAGTTTCTGCTGTTGGGTGTGGCCTGTTATGCTAATGAGTTCCTGCTGGGCGTGGCCAACTCGGGAGCCAGCCGGAACTCCGTTCCTGTGCGTTCCTGCCCAAAAATAGCCCTGCTAAACAGTCATCTCCTGCTTATTTATAAGTAGGGTTTCTGGTCTACCCCAAATCCTGCAGCTCGAGCCCCCACCTCCCAACTAGGCAGTGTTCCCTCTATGCTGAGTGAGTGCGAGCCAGCTCACAGTTTTGTAGCCTCCGGCTCACACATTTTTGTCTTCGCTCAGGAAGTCTGGCTCCAGAGCAGTGTTCCCTCTAAGCTGAGTTAGTGTGAGCTAGGTCACTGTTTTTTAGCCTCCAGCTCACACTTTTTTGTCTCCGCTCAGGAAGGCTGGCTCCAGAGCAAACTAATTTATGCAGAAGCCAAATCGCTCGCTCACAACTTTAATGCCAGCAGCTCACCAAGTAGAATTTTTGCTCACAAGACTCCACAGCTTAGAGGGAACATTGCTCCAGAGCAGACTGATTCATGCAGTAGCCAGATCGCTCGCTCACAACTTTAATGCCGGTCGCTCACAAAGTAGGATTTTTGCTCACAGGATGCCACAGCTTAGAGGGAGCATTGCTACTAGGAACCGCTTCCTGCCTCCTCAAGTGCAAAAGGCATCTGAGAAACGGGGAGTGCCCCTCCCAAGTATAAACCGATTTACAACATCATCAACTGTATATGGATATTTTAAAATCTAAATCTTGTTTTATGCCATTTTGCCCTGTGTACATCGCCCAGAGCCCGGCGTAAGCTGGGATGGGGTGATTAATAAACCAAATAATAATAATAATTATTATTATTATTATTATTAACAACAACAACAACAACAACAACAACCACAACCACAAATACAAAAGGTCTAGTTAGGAATGTAACTTAAAGGAACTAAAACGGTAATTCAAATTAACTTCTGGAAAGAAAGGAGGATTAGCGGTTTGTTCCATCAGGCATACAGATCAGGGGCACTTTCACACACACTAAGTAACGCACTGTCAATCCACTTTCAATGCACTTTGCAAATTGATTTTACTGTGTCAAATGGCAAAATCCGCTTGCAAACTATCGCTGAAGTGGATCGAGACGGCATTATTTAACATGTGTGACAGCGTCCAGCCTCTGGGAGCCCACCTGCTGGCTTCTGATCAGAAATACCCATCTCGCTCCTGGAGCAAACTCCAGGAGACACGGATTCTGCAGATTAGTAACTGATGTGGTCTCCCCTTTTCGGACCCCCCCCCTAAAGCGTGCTCGGAGGTCTTCAGGCAAGCGGGGTGCTGCGCTTTGGGTCTCCGGCCTGCCAGACCTGCATCCTCCAATCAAGAGATGTTAACACATCAAAGGGCCGACGTGTTCTCTCTCCCACCTGGAAAGGATGCCCTGTTCCAGTAAAGAGCATCTTTTCTCCTTCTTCCTAGCCATGAAGACACCTTGGGGACCGCTTTCCATCATCATACCTGTCAAGGCATCTCCTGTACCTGTTCCCCCCACCAACGCTCCCTCTAAGCTGTGGAGTCTTGTGAGCAAAAATTCTACCTTGTGAGCTCACTGGCATTAGCGTTGTGAGCGAGCGATTTGGCTACTGCATAAATTAGTTTGATTTGGGGCCGTCCTTCCGGAGCGAAGACAAAAATCTGTAACCTGGAGGCTAAAAAACTGTGAGGTAGCTCACACTAGCTCAGCTTAGAGAGAACACTGCACCCACCCCATCCCCCACCATCCCCACCTTTCATCTCACTACAGCAGGGGTCATTTCCTGCAGGAGCGCACAGGAGCGGAGCTCCGGCAGTAAAGAGCCCAGGGAGCGGGCACATGCAACAAGCCCCACCCCCTGCTCCCAGCAGCCCTCAGTCAGAGCAAGGAGCAGCCAGGTAAGTTGCAGAGCCCCCCGGCCCCCCAGTCCAAAACTGTCCAGTGGCACCTTTAAGACCAAGTTTTATTCAGGTACAAGCTCTCCCTCCTCTGCGAGGACAGATCTGCTCGCCCCCGCCCCCCAACAGCTAGCAATCCAAAACAGTCCAGTGGAGCCTGAGCGGTGGGTGTTGCCTTCTGACACACTTCCGGTGATGTCAGGGGGTGTGGCCTATGCAAATAAGTTATGCTAATGAGTTATGATAATGAGCTCATGCACCTCGTTTTCTACGAAATGACCCCTACACTACAGTAACACAAGCTAGCCCTGCACGACACGGATCCTGTCCACTAGCCCCACCAAAAAGGTCAGGCATCCCCCAACTAAAATGCAGACACAGAGGATGGAACTTCAACCGTCTCTCAGTCTTGGTTTCAAAAAATGCCCCCCTCCGTCCCCCCCACGGGGGGGGGGGGGCTGAGAGTTCGGACCACCTACGCAGGCAACTCACCAATAAACCTTCCTGGCCTTCTGAATGGTGCTGACTGTTTGGACTTCTTTCAGGGTCTGCTTGGTCTTCTTCTCTGCCGACTTGAAGGCCTGTTCAGACAAATTGAACCATCCTGAAAACACACGAACTACAACCGACCTGTACCCCCCCCCGGGGGGGGGGAGATGACATCACATACGAACTCATGACAAGAAAGGGCATTTGACACGTGCTAATATTTCTAAGATGGGGCTGCGGTGGCTCAAATGGTTAAGATGCTGAACTGCAGGCCGGAAGGTCGGTAGTTTGGCAGTCAAGACCTGAGTGCCACGCGTGACAGAATGAGCTCCGGTCTCTGGCCCCAGCTCCTGCCCACCTAGCAGTTCGAAAGCAAGAAATTGCAAGTAGATAAATAGCTACTGCTTCGGTGGGAAGGTAACAGTGTTCCGTGCGCCTCGGCGTCTAGTCATGCCGGCCACATGACCACGGAAACATCTTTGGACAGCGCTGGCTCTTCGGCTTGGAAACGGAGATGAGCACCGCATCCCTAGAGTCGGATTTGACTGGCTTTCGAGCAAAGGAAACCTTTGCATTTACCTAATATTTCTTAGGGATTTATCCATCTGCCCCCCACCTACCCCAGGGTTTGTTGCTTGGAGCTCAGACCACCATGAAAACTCCAAAAAAAACGCTTCCAGAATGAAGGCACTCGCAGGCACTCGCAGGTCTTCGCATTTCTGAGCATGCCCGCTCTGCAGCACGGGCGTGTTACGTCCATGGACGTCACCGGGACACCGGATCAGTTGCATTACTTGTTAGCATGTGTTTAATCTGTGTGCTGTTTTGTGTTCTCTTAATGGACTTATCTTTTGTCTCCTCCCAACTTATTTGTTTATTAAAACATTGATATCTTACCCTTCCCTTGTGGTTCAAGGCAGCTGGCAATAATAGTGAAAAACAGGCAGGACACGAATGTTTCAATAAATAAAGAGCATGCAGCACGTAACTCATTCCGCAGACGTGATTAATGTGACCGTCTCGTTCTTCACTGCCACCAAATCGGGAAAAACTTTCAGAGGGTCCTTGTGTCGGGTCTGCAGTGGAAGAGCTGGGTTCGAGTCCAGCGGCACCTTAGAGCCCAACAAGATTTTCGGGATCTGAGCTCTTGAGAGTCCACGCTCCCCTTTCCTCGGGTATCTGACGAAGGGAGTGTCGACTCTCAGATGCTCATACCTCAAAAATCTTGTTGGGCTCTAAGGTGCCGCTGGACTTCAATCTAAATCGAGAGCCAAGAATGTCGGACTAGTATCTGGGAGACCCGGGCTTGAAACCCCACTCGAGCCATGAAAGCTCGCTGGGTGACCTTGGGCCAATCACACACTCTCAGCCTAACCCACCTCACAGGGTTGTTGTGAAGATAAAACGGAGGAGAAAATGACGTAAGCCGCTTCGGGTCCCCCTTAGGGGAGAAAGGCAGGGCGTACATGAAGAAGAAGAAGAAGAGACTGGATTTATACCCTGCCCTTCACTACTCGAAGGAGTCTCAGAGCGGCTTACAAACTCCTTTCCCTTCCCCCCACAACAGACACCCTGTGAGGTAGGCGGGGCTGAGAGAGCTCTGACAGAAACTGCTCTTTTTCAAGGACAGCTCTTATCAGAACTTGTGACTGACCCAAGGTCATCCAGCAGCTGCAAGAGAAGGAGTGGAATATCAAACCCGGCTCTCCCAGATTAGAGTCCGTGCACTTAACCAGTAGACAAAACTGGTGAGAGAGACACAGAGAGAGAGACAGAGACAGAGACAGAGAGACAGACACAGAGAGAGAGACAGAGAGACAGAGAGAGAGACATCTCTGTCCCTGGCTCTGCCTGAACCAAACCAAACAGAAGTGAGACATTTTTAAAGCCACTCTCTATATATCTAACTAGGGAGGAAGGCCCGTTGCGAAGGGCGATACAACGGGCGGCTAGCCGCCCCCCCGCCTCCTTCCCCTCTCCGCAGTGACCCAGGCCGCGGCCGGTCGTAGGCCGCCGCCCGTCGGACCCAGCCACTCGCAGGACTTGGCCGTCCCGCGCCGGTCGCTCGCCTCCTCCCCCTCTCTGGCCGGACCCAGGCGCCTGTCGGTCTGTGGCTGTCGCCCGTCTGGGCCAGCCACTCGCGCCTCTCATGTGTCCTCGGCACAGCGCTCGCCTCCTCCCTCTCCGGCGTGACGCAGTCGGCCTCCGGTATGAGTCCGTCGCCCGTCGAAGCCACCCGTCACCTTAACCTCCCCGTCTCCTCCCCCTCTCCGGCGTGACCGAGGCGGCTGGCGGTCTTAGGCCGCCGCCCGTCGGACCCAGCCACTCGAGGGACTTGCCTGTCCCGCGGCGGGGGCTCGCCCCCCCCCCCGGCGCCAGTCTTAGCCCGGCGTCCGCCACAGCCGCCCGTCGCCTCCAGCCCCCGGGAACGTGAAGCTGCGTCTGAGGTGGGACTGAGACGACGCGGCCAATGGGACGTGGCCACGCCGTTGACGGACAGCCGAGCCGTCCTAACACTGTAGGGGCGCATTGCGTGCAGTTTGCGTCTTACTGCTTTATAATATAGAGAGATACCAACTCTGCCCTGATCTGTGGGTCCTTAAACCTGCAAATGCGGGCCAGAGATGAGCATGGGGAACAGGGAGAGTAAGAAAAAGAGTGGCCGAAGCAGTGTTCCCTCTAAGCTGAGTTAGTGTGAGCGAGCTCACAGTTTTTTAGCCTCCGGCTCACCCATTTTTGTCTTCGCTCGGGAAGGAGGGCTCCAGAGCAAACTAATTTACGCAGGAGCCAAAATCGCTCGCTCACAACTTTAATGCCAGGAGCTCACAAAGTAGAATTCTTGCTGACAAGACTCCACAGCTTAGAGGGAGCACTGGACGGAAGGGAGAAAGAGTGAGAGACTGAGAGAAGCAGGGGGAGAAGGAAGGAGGGAAAGATGGGGGGAACGGGATGGCTGCGCCCGCAAGTTCCTTGTGGGTCCCCACTTGTTTGATTCTTAAGGGGGAAAGGACCAAAAAAAATTCACTGATACCTTCTCTGCTGCTTCCACGGTCTTCTGGGTTTTCCTGGCTGCATGCCTCTTGTGATCGTAATACCTGGAGAACACAGAGCACGATCAGAGCTTCCCGTCAGTCAAATGGAACACATCACGCTGCTTTGTGCTGGGACAGACCCTTCGAATGTCTAGCTCAGTGTTGTCTACTCAGGGTCTCGGGCACAAAAAGTCCTTTCCCATATACTAGATTTCCTCCTACTGGAGATGTCTGAGAATGGACCTGGGACTTATTAGCTTCATTTACAGCCGGCCGTTCTCACAGAGACTTAAGGCAGATCACAAAAGTCTGAAAATGCATTTATTTTATTTATTTATGCATTTTCAGACTTTTGTGATCTGCATTTGATCAGACAGCAAAGACCTCCCACAAACAGTGCAGTAGGATCAGCATCAGAGAACTGGAAGAAGAAGGCCAATGGAAAAGGGCCTGAGGTGTGACATAGCACAAGGAACAAAGGGGGTTACAAAGGTAGAGGACATCAGTGTACGAAGTGTAAAAACAACCACTGAGTCACAGCCCCTCCCCGACCCCTAGTTGCCCATTCCTCTTTATATCCAAGCTTTCCGCAAACTATGCAAAACTGGACAAAGTTTGAGTCCAGTCTTTAGGACCAACAAAGTTTTATTCAAGGTATAAGCTTTCATGTGTTTCACCTCTCTGCCCTGTTGTTGGTCCTCCAGAGGAACTGGCTGGCCACTGTGTGAGACAGGATGCTGGACTAGATGGACCCCTAGTCTGACTCAGCAGGGCTCTTCTTATGGTCTAATGAAGGCCTTGGCCTCTATATGCCCTGTCGTGGGCCCTCCAGAGGAACTGCTCGGCACCTGTGTGAGACAGGATGCTGGACTAGATGGACCACTGCTCTGATCCAGCAGGGCTCTTCTGATGTTTTAATGAAGGCCTCGGCCTCTCTGCCCTGTTGTTGGCCCTCCAGAGGGACTGGTTGGCCACCGTGTGACACAGGATGCTGGACTAGATGGACCACTGGTCTGATCCAGCAGGGCTCTTCTGATGTTCTTACTGTGCTAGGATAAGGTCTACCTGTTGAACCTCCACGTTTAGAGGCACTAATCCTCTGAATCCCAAAGCCAGGAGGCAACATCAGGGGAAGACCTCAGCCTCTCTGCCCTGTTGCTAGCCCTTCAAAGGAACTGGTTGGCCCCTGTATGAGACCAGATGGTGGACTAGGTGGACTGCTGGTCTCATCCAGCAGAGCTCTTCTTATGGTCTAATGAAGGCCTTAGCCTCTACCTGCCCTGTTGTTGGCCCTCCAGAAAAACTGGCTGGCCCCTGTGTGAGACGGGATGCTGGGCTAGATGGACCACTGGTCCGATCCAGCAGGGCTCTTCTGATGTTCTAATGAAGGCTTCGGCCTCTCTGCCCTGTTGTTGGCCCTCCAGAGAAACTGGTTGGGTACTATGTGAGGCAGGATGCTGGACTAGATGGACCCTCACTGGTCTGATCCAGCAGGGCTCTTCTGAGATTCTTATAGGGAGGGAAATGTCTCAGCCGAGCCGGAGGCCCATGAGAGCCCCTTGCCAGTCAGAGCAGCCAGTGACGTTAAGGAGACGGACGAATGGGCTGACTCGGTGTCCGGCAGCTCCCCACGGATCCTTTGCCCGGCTTCAGAGGCAACAACCCTAGCCATGGATATTGCCCTCTGCTCTACCCCAGGGCCTCTGGCGCATCTCCCCGAGAAAGAGGCTCACTTTTTGGCGTTGGCGTAGGCAGACAAGCTGAGGTCCACGTCCACAAGCAAAGGCTGGTCCTTGAGAGGCTTCGTCGGCTGCTTGGCCTTGTTCTTCCTCCTCTTCCCCTTCGGTTTTTCCGCCGCCTCCTCTTTTGTGGCCGCTTCCTCCGCCTCCTCCTCCTCCACATCTGAGAGCACGTATGGGTTTCTGAACAAACAGGAAAGGGGGCTTTGAAAGGTCTGGACCAGAAATTGGACATTCACTGGGGGCCAACTCTATGAAGAGGTGAGATGAGGCACTGGCCTCAGACAGTGGATTTGGGAGAGGAGGAGGAAGAGGAAGAGGAGGAGGAAGAAGAAGAGGAGGAGGAGGAAGAAGAGGAAAAGGAGGAGGAGGAAGAATAGGAGGAGGAGGAGGGAGGAAGAGGAGGAGGAGGAAGAAGAAGAGGAGGAGGAAGAAGAGGAAAAGGAGGAGGAAGAATAGGAGGAGGAGGAGGAAGAGGAAGAAGAGGAGGAGGAGGAAGAAGAGGAGGGGGAGAAGGAGATTGGATTTATACCCTGCCCTTCACTACCCAAAGGTGTCTCAGAGCGGCTTACAAACCCCTTCCCCTTCCCCTCCCCACAACAGACACCCTGTGAGGTGGGTGGGGCCGAGAGAGCTCTTGACAGGAACTGCTCTTTTCCAAGGACAGCTCTTATCAGAACTACGGCTTGCCCAAGGTCATCCAGCCAGGTGCAAGTGGAGGAGTGGGGAATCAAACCCGGTTCTCCCAGATTAGAGTCCGCGCACCTGACCACGACACACCAGACTGTAGTGGTCAGCAGTCCCCGGTATCCGTAAGACCCTCTCCTCCAACACCCCATTTCAAAGGAATCCGCGTTGTTCCTCTTGGCTTCCTTCGCTGTCCAAGTGTCACACCCACACGAAGTAATGGGGAATGCCGTGGCATGATTTAGCTTGATTTAGAATTTTTGCTCACAAGACTCCACAGCTTAGAGGGAGCATTGATCCTAACCTCTAGTCCGATAACGCGACTTCAGTGGACACCCCACAGGCTAGACCTGCTCTGCGCTCTAAATCCAAAGGGCTGTGTAATGATTCCTTGTTTTATATATGTGTGTGTGTGTCTTTTTAAAAGTTTGGTTGCATGGCTGAGATATATTAGAGTGGTTGAAGAGACAAGAGTGGTGTGATTGGTGATTGACAGAGAGGGGGAGGGGTTTTGGAAATGGCTCTGAGTGGATGAATATGTATGTCTGTCAAGAGTGACAGTTACAGGTTTGACAGTTGATGAAGACAGTTGTTAAGGGAGTTAGTTCTGAGGTCTGTGAGAGAAGCAGCGAGTTAAGTTCTGTGTATGAGAAAAGTGAGAAGCATTTCGGTGTGAAAGCAGTTAAGCTGTCTGTTGATGTTGTTCAGAGTTATAAGAAAGTCTGAGTGACAGACTGGAGTGAAACAGTCTACGTCTATGTCCTGGAGTTAAAGTGTTGCAAAGTTACCTGGAAAATCCCTGTCAGGAAGGGAGCAGATCTTGTGTGAGACACCAAGCAATTGTTAAAAAGATTCACCTTACTGGTTACATTGTTCTACCCTTTATTTATGAATTATTTCAATAAATCTTCTTTTATTCAAGTACGCCAACTCTTCCTTAGGACCATATAGATCCTCATGAGCCTTAAACTTGACCTACCTACCCAGTAAAGAGCCAAAGTGAAGGGAAAAGGTTTGGAAAGCCTTAAATTTCCTGATGGCAGCCGGATATACCCTAGTAGAACAAAATAAGGAACACTTTTAAAGGGAAACCAGACCTCCCCAGATAAGGGGTCATCACAGGCTGGTTGTCACCTTTGAATCCTCAAAGATTCAGGGATCACGGCACCTCAGGATGTCCCATATCCACTGATCGTACATCCGGCTCTTTAGAAAAGGCCCTGCCCTCCGCATTCCCCCACTGGGAGAGGCACGGGACTTTCCTCGGTGGCAGCACCGAGGGTACGGAATCCTCATTCTAGAGGGGGGTTGGTAGCCTTTAACAGTCCCATGGTTCCGCCACCTTCCCAGCTCACCGCTGATGGGATTCCAAGATGCTAAACTCTGGCGTTTGCCTTGTTCGACCGGGGGGGGGGGGGCACAACCCCTTTCCACCTTCTCTCTTTCTCCAGTCAGCACAACAGTCAATAAACTAAGAGAAGCCAATGTTGGATCAGGCCAATGGCCCATCCAGTCCAACACTCTGTGCCACACAATGGCCAAAACCCAGGGGCCATCAGGAGGTCCACCAGCAGGGGCCAGAACTCCAGAAGTGCTCCCTCTCTTGCCCCCCAAGCACCGAGAGCATCACTGCCCCAGACGTAAGAACCTAAGAGAAGCCATGTTGGATGAGGCCAATGGGCCATCCAGTCCAACACCCTGCGTCACACAGTGGCCAAAACCCAGCTGCTGTCAGGAGGTCCACCAGTGGGGCCAGAACTCCAGAAGCCCTCCATCTCTTGGCCCCCAAGCACCAAGAAAACAGAGCATCACTGCCCCAGACGTAAGAACCAAAGAGAAGCCAATGCTGGATCAGGCCAATGGCCCATCCAGTCCAACACTCTGTGTCACACAGTGGCCAAAAATACCAGGGGCCATCAGGAGGTCCACCAGCAGGGCCAGAACTCCAGAAGTGCTCCCTCTCTTGCCCCCCAAGCACCAAGAATACAGAGCATCACTGCCCCAGACGTAAGAACCTAAGAGAAGCCAATGCTGGATCAGGCCAGTGGCCCATTCAGTCCAACACTCTGTTACACAGTGGCCAAAAATACCAGGTGCCATCAGGAGGTCCAGCAGTGGGGCCGGGACACCAGAAGCCCTCCCACTCTTGCCCCCCCCCCCCAAGCACCAAGAACACAGAGCATCCCTTGCCCCAGACATAAGAACATAAGAGAAGCCACAATGTTGGATGAAGCCAAGGGCCCACCCAGTCCAACACTCTGCGTCTCACAGTGGCCAAAACCCAAGGGGCCAGCAGGAGGTCCACCAGCGGGGGCCGGACTCACTTCAGGAGCATGGTGATGTGGTTGGTCTGCAGCTTCAGCTCCTTGATGGCGCTGGCCACCGGGTCCCCCTGGGCTTGGGCCTCTTTGACGATGGCACCGATCTCCGTCCAGTCGATCTGGTTCGCTAAGGCACTCCGGACCACCTGGATGGCTTGGTCGACGATCTCGAGGTTCATTTCTACGAGCTCGCCTTTCACCTTGTCGATTTCCTTTGGGAAAGGAGAGAGACATGGAGCACCAAAGGCTTGCCTGCAGCCTCTTGTGGATCTTCAGACCTAAGCAGGGAATTTGGAAGACAGTAGCCCATTGCCCTGCACCAGCCTTCAGTAAGGCTACCAGCAAGAACAGCCCTACGAAAGCTTGCCTTCACCATCAGACTTACAGGAGCATCTCATCGGTGGGTCTGAGGGACAGGAGAGGAGAGAAGTCTATTGATTGGCACGCTTGTAGCTGCCCTGCTTCCAAGGAGCAGGTACCTTCGATAAAGTGGACCATGCAGTACTGCCGAGATGGGTCTGGGCAGAGCAGTACTGAGATCGTTCTGGACTTCTTTCTATCAGACTGCTGACAGAAGGTTAAGAACATCAGAGAAGCCAGTGTTGGATCAGGCCAATGGCCGCTCCAGTCCAACACTCTGTATCACACAGTGGCCAAAACTACCAGGTGCCCTCAGGAGGTCCACCAGTGTGGCCAGGACATTAGAAGCCCTCCCACTGTTGGCCCCCCCCCCCCCCAAGCGCCAAGAATACAGAACATCACTTGCCCCAGACAGAGTGCTCCATCTATATCTTGTGGCTAATAGCCACTCACGGACCTCCGCTCCACATGTTAATCCAATCCCCTCGTAAGAACGGAACAGAAGCCATGTTGGAGCAGGCCAATGGACCATCCAGTCCAACATTCTGTGCCACACAGTGGCCAAAACCAAGGGGCCATCAGGAGGTCCACCAGCGGGGCCAGAACTCCAGATGTCCTCCCACTGTGCCCCCCCCACCCAGCACCAAGACTACAGAGCATCACTGCCCCAGAGCGCTCCATCTATATCTTGTGGCTAATAGCCACTCGTGGACCTCCGCTCCATATGTTAATCCAATCCCCTCGTAAGAACCTAAGAGAAGCCAATGTTGGATCAGGCCAATGGCCCATCCAGTCCAACAGTCTGTGTCACAGAGTGGCCAAAACCCAGGGGCCATCAGGAGGTCCACCAGTGGAAGATGCTGGTTCAACCTTGTCCATGTTTTTTTGTTAACAAATAAACGGTAAAAAGTTGGTAAGACAGGACTCCTCTTTGCAGAAGCCATGCTGACTCTCTCTCAGCAGGGCTTGTTCCGCTATATACTTAGTAAGTCTATCTTTAATAGCTGTTTCCACTAATTTGCCAGGTAGGCCACAGGTGTCAAACATAAAGCCCGGGGGCCAGAGTCAGCCCGTCTGTTTCTTTCCGTGGCTTCCAAATGTCTGGAAATTTTACATGTCTACTCAAAGATCCTACCTGGGCTTGGTGGAGTGCTTCTAATCTGTGCTCGTGGTCCTTCCGAACATTTTCCAGCTTCTTCAATGCTTGCTTCTCCTTTCAGGGACAAAAGGCGGGGGGGAGGGGAGGGAGAGAGCATTCTGACATGAATGTACCACTGCTTCAGGTACAGTCACAGCAAGAACAGGAGCAGCCCAGGTTGGAAAGCGAGTGAATGAACATGGCCTCTCTTTCCAACCATCTGTAGCCCGCAGGCAGCCATCGAGCCGACTGAGCACACGTTATTTCAAAAGGAGAAATTTCTCAAGAAAGCGGTACCTGGTGCAACGCCTTCAAGTCGATCTTCTGGCTTTCCAGCTTGGAGTAGAATTCATCCACTGCCTTTCAAAAAAAAATTAAAAAGGCATATAAAAATCAAGATTTCAGTAGAGATAACGAAAATATGAGTTGGAACAAAGCAGATCCAGCCCACCAGTTAAGATCTGCCTCACACACCCTGACCTCCGTGCCCACCACCTTCACAGGCAAGGCAGGTGGCAATCAGAGACAGGGACTTTTCAGGAGTGGCCCCTCGCCGGCAGAATGCCCTTCCCCTTGAGTCTCATCTGGTGCCTATGTTGCTTTCTTTTACTTGCAAGAGAGCCAGTTTGGTGTAGTGGTTAAGTGTAAGGACTCTAATCTGGGAGAACCGGGTTTGATTCCCCACTCCTCCACTTACAGCTGCAGGATGACCTTGGGCAAGGCATAGTTCGGTCAGAGCTGTTCTCTCAAGGACAGTTCTCAGTCAGAGCTCTCTCAGCCCCACCTGCCTCACAGGGCGTCTGTTGCAGGGAGGGGAAGGGAAAGGAGTTTGTAAGGTGCTCTGAGACTCCTTTGGGTAGTGAAGGGCGGGGTATAAATCCAATCTCCTCCTCCTCCTCCTCCTCCTCTTCTTCCTCCTCTTCTTCTTCTTCTTCTCTTCAAGTCCGAAACATCTCTGTTCACCGAGGCTTTTCGTTATGGGGCTGATTTAAATGCTATTTTAGTCTGAAAACTATTATTTCTACCTGGCAGTGGTCTGTTTCTATGGTTTATGTTTTTATTTGTTATTTTATTGTACATCGTTGATATCTCACCTTTCTGCCCTCACAACAGCCACCAAGGCATCTTGGCTGGGTTTTTAATGCTAGTTTTTAACAACTTTTAATGTTTTTATTGTTTCTATTTTGTACGCAGCCTTGGGCAGGCTCCTGGAGAGGCGGCATTAAAATATTCTAAATACATCATTATATATCACCGTCTCTCCCAGTACGACCCCCCTGGCCTCCTCTGCTCATCATTGCAGGGCCTTCCACAGGTGCCTGGCCCGTGAACTGCCCGCTTGTCAACTACCAGGGGAAGGGCATTTTCAGTGGCTGCCCCCTCTCTCTAGAATCAGCTTCTTGGGGAGGTTCGTGCCCATCAGGGCCTTCCAGTTTGGTGCAGTGGTCAGGAGGGCGGACTCTAATCTGGGAAGAACCGGGTTTGATTCCCCCACTCCTCCACATGCAGCTACTGGTGTGACCTTGGGTCAGTCACAAGTGCGTTCAGAGCTGTTCTCTCAGGAGCAGTCCTCAAAAAAGCTCTCTCAGCCCCACCTACCTCACAGGCAGTGTTCCCTCTAAGCTCGGTTAGTGCGAGCCAGCTCACAGTTCTTTAGCCTCCGGCTCACACATTTCTGTCTTAGCTCAGGAAGGATGGCTCCAGAGCAAACTAATTTATGCATTAGCCAAATTGCTCGCTTACAACTTTAATGCCAGGAGCTCACAAAGTAGGATTTTTGCTGACAAGACTCCACAGCTTAGAGGGAGCATTGCTCACAGGGTGTCTGTTGTGGGGAAGGGAAGCGAAAGGAGATTGTAAGCCGCTCTGAGACTCCTTCAGGTAATGAAGGGCAAGATATACATCTAATCTCTTCTTCTTTCAGCATTCCATAGGGCATGCAAGGCTGCGTTGTTTCATGCAGCCTGTGGTTAGCATTACGGACCGGGGAGCTGGCCAATTGTTTTAATCGTTCAGATTGACTTAAATTGATGTTTTCATTCGTTTTATTGTTCTGTATTTATTGCATGTATTTGTATTTGTATTGCATTTTGTGTTTATTGTCCTTTAAACGTTGTAAGCTGCCCCGAGTTCCCTTTTTGGGAAAGGTTTCAGGGTATAAATTAAATAAATAATAAAATAAATATTTGAAAATATAAATCGTACAATCCCATCATTCATACTTCAGAATTTACTTCTGAAAAGGCACTTCGGGTGATAACAACAATTTTTTGCCGCTGAAATCGGTCACCAAGGCAGAAAATCTTCAGATATTTAGAATCTGAAAGTTTCTCGAACCTCAAACTGTCATCAACTCTTCGAATCCACATTCAAAATAACTGACAATCTCACCTGGAGTGCATACAATAGGCAAGATTCTTTTTATTAACTGCAATATCCCCTGAGCCCTCACGGACAATAAAAAAATTTTTTACACCGCATGCTTAAAATTTGATAGCAAAAACACCTCCATACCTTGTTGAAAGACTCAAATTCCACATACGGACATTTTGAGTGTTGCAAAAACAAGAAAGGGTGAAACTCCTCGTATCTGCAAGAGACAGATTTTATATCACTGCCAGATGAACAGTCAGGAAAGAAGCCGGCTGGAAAGGAAAAGTCCATCGAAATACGTACGTGAGGATTTCTTCAGTGGGTTTGTTCGGTTCCAAACTTGGCTTTTTCTCCCTCTTCTGGATGATAAAGCCCTGTAAGACAAGAGACAATTTGTGAACATTTTCCCCTAGTTTCTCTTCTTGAAATCGTATGTTACTTTTTTGCAGTGCTGGAGGAGAGTTCTACAGATAACGTGGACCACCAAAAAGTGTGTGTGCCTTTAAATGCTTGGTTGGAGTGCATGGTTAGTAGACTAGAGTGACTGAGAGAAACAAATGTGCTGTGATTGGTGGATGACAGAGTGTGGGAGGGGTTTTTGAAGTGAATCTGTGTGGGTGTGTCTGTGTGTCAGTTATGAGAGACAGTTAGAAATCAGTTGGAATTGTTCAGTTAGAGAGTTAAGTCAGCGAGTTTTCAGTTAGTTCTGAGTGAGTTCTTAAAGAGTGCAGAATATATGTCCTTAGCCTGTGTGGCTGACTATAGGAAAGAGCGACTCCTGTTAAAGTTGGAACTGAAAGTCAAAACAAAAAGTAAAAGATACATTTGACAGACATATTTTCAAGTCCCTTTATCCAAGATAGTTACAGAATAACCAACCTCATATTTTGTTCTTACTTCAATAAATCATCTTTTGTTCAAGTTTATCCCTGAATTTAGTTCTATCTTTCCTCGGGACCACATAGAACCCTGAAAAGCCCCCGACTCTAGGTCACCTTACCAGCAAAAGAAACAGAGAGAAGGTTTGGAAATCCTTAAATTCCTGGTGGCAGCAGAAACTACCCCGTTTACAAAAGCAAAGAGCACACTTAAAGGGAAAACTAGACCTCCCTAATAAAAGGACGCCACAGATGTGTTTAACTTGATTACCAGAGTTCTCTTTTCACCCACAAGAGGCCATTGGTCACCTAATGCCCAGTGCCAAGGCCTGCTTGCTCTGCCAAAGCCTACCTAGAGCAGCCAGAGTTGAAATGGCAGGAACGTTTTGAGAGTTTCAAAGGTTAGTTTCCAAGAGAGTTGGATAAACACACCAAGGAAGGCGTTCAGCCATGGAGTGGGACAACTGGAAATCTCAAATTGTGTGTCTGCACACACCCCAACATTCTTGAGATTTCGAGGGACAAACCATGTTAATTTCCCCCACGGGAAGGGGTCATTTCGTAGAAAAAGAGGTGCAGGAGCTCATTAGCATAACTCATTTGCATATGCCACACCCCCTGGCATCACCGGAAGTGTGTCAGAAGACAACACCCACTGCTCAGGCTCCATTGGACTGTTTTGGATTGCTAGCTATGGGGGGGGGGACACGCAGATCCTTGTGCTCCTCGTAGCTCGGGGCTGCTGGGAGCAAAGGGCGGGGCTTACTGCATGTGCCCGCCCCCTGGGCTCTGTACTGCTGGAGCTCCGCTCCTGTGCACTCCTGCAGGAAAGAACCCCTGCCCACGGGCATCTCCCAGCTCCTCTCCCCCTGTTGGTTCTGCCTCCTAGACTTGACTCCATTTCCGGACAGAATTTGAGAGGCGCTGGATCCTCGACCGTGAGCACACGCATGAAAAATCAAAGCAAGTTATCACCAGCTACCTTTCCATCAAAGCTGTCCACAGTCTCCATATATTCTTCTGCATTTTGTAAAGCGACAAGTAGCCTCTCGAAGTCTAAAGAGAGAGAGAAAAGAACGGGCTTTTTAAAACCAAGGATGTTGACGTTTTGGGGTCCTGCTGGGACCATTCTGTGCATGCTGAATATGTCCGGGGAGGGGGTTCATGATTAACAAGGCTGACATAAGAATACAAGAGTCACAACATGATCAGTTGGAACAGGTGAACTTTTACCCTCCCCCGCCCCCATGTAAGGGAAGCATTCCTTTTAAAAGAGACACATGAAAACGAAGGGTCTCATTGCCTGTTGTACAACAACGCATCCGCCACTAAATCTCAGGGCTATACTGAGATGACCAGTCTCTTCGATACCCAGTCTCTAAAGGTTATCAGGCCTCTGACTGAAGGAAAGTCAATGAAATTGCTCTCAATGCACTCCAGGAAACTGCTGAGCAGTCGGGTTAGAATGGATAAAAGGAAGTCCTTCTTGACCCAAAGAGTGATCAACACATGGAATTCACTGCCACAGGAGGTGGTGGCAGCTACAAACATGGACAGCTTCAAGAGGTGATTGAAGAAACATCTGGAGGAGAGGTCCATCAGTGACTATTAGCCACAAGGTGTAGACAGAAACTCAGGCTGGGGCAAGTGATGCTCTGTATTCTTGGTGCTTGGCGGTGGGGCAACAGTGGGAGGGCTTCTAGTGTCCTGGCCCCACTGGCAGACCTCCTGATGGCACTGGTATTTCTGGCCACTGTGTGACCCAGAGTGTTGGGCTGGATGGGCCTTTGACCTGATCCAACATTGGCTTCTCTTATGTTCTTATGTCTGGGTCAAGGAATGCTCTGTATTCTTGGAGTGTGGGGGGGGGCAACAGTGGGAGGGCTTCTAGTGTCCTGGACCCACTGCTGGACCTCCTGATGGCACCTGGTATTTTTGGCCACTGTGTGACAGAGTGTTGGACTGGATGGGCCACTGGCCTGATCCAACCTTGGCTTCTCTTATGTTCTTAAAGTCAGAAGTTTATTTATTCCCATGTGTCAAGAGAAAACCTTGTGTCCCAGCCAAAGATCAGTCACATTTCTCATTTAAGATTTTTTTTTAATTTAAAATCAATCTAATCAGTCTGGCCACCCACCTTTGCCTTCCATCTGGTCTGTTTTGGCACTGCCTGAAAATCCCGCTCCTATAAGGCAGTGCTCAATGAGTGTGGCTCCATAAGCTGTTTGGAAGAAGGGGAAAAAAGGAAAAGAACACTTTAAAACAGGTAGATTCGGGCGGGGTATCCATGTTGGTCTGAAGAAGCAGAACAAAGTGAGTTCAGGAACACCTTTAAGGCCAACAAAGTTTTATTCACAGCATAAGCTTTCGTGTGCAAGCGCACTTCCTCAGATACAATGGAACAGAATTCCCTCAACCATTACGTATAGGGGGTGCGGATTGTTGTTAGGTAGATCAGCCAGGTGGAGGCCTGGATTGCAAAGATGGATTTCGTTTCCCGTAACACATATTTTCAGCTTTCGCAAGGCAGAATCCAGACATCCTTCAAAGGATAAAGAGACCCTACTCTTAAGTCATGAATCTGCTTAGCAAACAGCAATGCCATCCTGCAAACTATATATGCCATTCTCCATATTTGAGAGAAGAACACTGAATATCCTATAGATACAGAGTTTGAAAGCAAACTCCGTCAATGGGAAGGGCTGTGGCTCAGTGACAGAACATCTGCTTGGCAGACAGAAGGTCTCTGGTTCAATCCCTGGCACCACCAGCTAAAAGGACCAGGTTGTGGGCAATGCGACCTAATGTCAGAACCCACAGCTAACGAAGTACACACATTCAGGAACGGTTATACTTTTATTGCAAAGCTATAGATGCAGTAACATAGGCACTGTTAAGAATGGCGGCAACCCATAGAGCCTAATAGGATATAAGGTATTCGTATGCCCCCCCCCCCCTTGGCATGGGCCAATTAGGTACCCTCCCGCGCGCGGGACAAGTTAGGAAACGGTTAGCTGGCTAAAGCTGGGAATTCGGAGTCTCTCACGGTACATAGGAGACTTCTAGACAACACAACCTCCTCCTGCACATCTGTAGAGGTAAGCCTTGCAGCACAGGCAGACCAGCAGGGATAGGAATGCAACAGCAATTAACCAGACACAGAATGAACTCCCCAACCCCCATGGCAGCATAGCTGACACCTACCATCTCAAGAGCCGCTACCAGTCTGAGTAGGCAATACTGACCCTGATGGACTAATGGTCTGATTCAGTATAAGGCAGCTTCATGTGTGTTCAGCTGTCTGTTATTGGTACAGATTTCTTTTTCCTGCATCCCCAAAGCCTTTGTTCTTCACACCAGCTTCTTCTCATCATTCCCACCCACCGAGAACTTTGGTCTCGGACAGCCCATTCGGGGGGGGGGGCGCTCAGTGGTTGCTCTGGAGTTCTGAAACTCCTTCTACCAGCAGAAGGCCCGCTCCCTCCTGATCAGCACATTGGAGAGAAGAAGAGGAGATTGGATTTATACCCCGCCCTTCACTACCCAAAGGAGTCTCAGAGCGGCTCACAAACTCCTTTCCCTTCCCACAACAGACCCCCTGTGAGGGAGGTGGGGCTGAGAGAACAGCTCTGACAGAACTATACCTTGCCCAAGGTCATCCAGCAGCTGCAAGTGGAGGAGTGGGGAATCAAACCCAGTTCTCCCAGATTAGAGTTTGCGCACTTAACCACTACACCAAACTGGCTCATACCAATTTTGTGTTAGAATGTTCATCGGTTTTTGAGGATGCTTATGCCAGTTTGGTGTAGTGGTTAAGAGCACAGACTCTAATCTGGGAGAACCGGGTTGGATTCCCCACTCCTCCACTTGCAGCTGCTGGATGACCTTGGGCAAGGTATAGTTCTGTCAGAGCTGTTCTCTCAGCCCCACCTACTTCACGTCACGGGGTGTCTGTTGTGGGGAGGGGAAGGGAAAGGAGTTTGTAAGCCGCTCTGAGACTCCTCTGGGTAGTGAAGGGCGGGGTATAAATCCAATCTCCTCTTCTTCTTCTTATGTACTTTTAAACTGCTTGTCTGTCTCTTGGAGGCTACCCAATGCTCAACAAAAATAGACCTTCCATGTCTATGCATAAGTTGGTTTCACCTTATGCATAGACTTTGTGATTATTTTTACTGCTTTGTGATTATTTTTACTGCTGTTTCATGGACTGCTGAATATAGCTTTGTTATTTACCTGTTATTGCTTGGATGCATTTCTGGTTTCATTGCTGGTGTATTGCTGGTGTATTTAAAAATATTTTAATTAAACCAAATACTTACGAAGGTGGGGGTTTAGGACTCGCTTTATCTGTTCTCCTTTAGGTGCGGTGGTTATTATTTCAGTCAGCCTATAAAGAGTAGGAGAAAAAGAATAAACAGCCAACATTCGATAACATTTTACAAGAAAGGGGAAAGCAAAGATTGTTGTTGTTGTTGTTGCAGATTTTCCGGGTCGTGTGGCCGTGGCCTTGGCATTGTAGGACCTGATGTTTTGCCAGCAGCTGTGACTGGCATCCTCAGAGGTATAACACCGAAAGATGGAGCGCTCTCTGTGTCAAGGTGAGAAGAAAATGATAGGCAGGTAATTTATATCACTCAGGAAGGTGGGGTAGGGCTGAGTTATTATCTTGACACAGAGGGTACTCCATCTTTCGGTGTTATACCTCTGAGGATGCCAGTCACAGCTGCTGGCGAAACATCAGGTCCTACAATGCCAAGGCCGCGGCCACACGACCCGGAAAATCTGCAACAGCCAATGAACTCTGGCCGTGAAAGCCTTCGACAACATAAAGACTTTTTTTGTTCACTGTCTCATTCATGCCAACACCTGAGGCCTTAAGGCAAATTATTCAAGATGTACCTAAATGTAGGTTATGTACAGAGGGCTGTGAGTGCAAAGACACAGAAAGAGTCCCTAGAGGTGCTAGCCTCAGTCTATCAGTTTACTTTATCTGTGGTCCAATTTTTGTCACTGAGAGTCAGGGCAGATTACAAAATTCAAAACAATGCAATAAGAGCAGTATTGTCCTTACACCAATGATATAATATAAAAAATATATAAAATATATAAAAAAATAAAACTGATATAATAAAATTGGATGATAAAAGCAGAAAACAAGGGACCCAAAACAGCATAGTGCATGCCACAAACAATGCAACAAGGCTAGAGCACAAAGTCAGAGAAACCAGGGGTTATTTCCTGCAGGAGCACACAGGAGCGGAGCTCCGGCAGTAAAGAGCCCAGGGGGCGGGCAGATGCAACAAGCCCCACCCCCTGCTCCCAGCAGCCCTCAGCCAGAGCAAGAAGCAGCCAGGTAAGTTGCAGAGCCTCCCCCTGGTCCAAAACAGTCCAGTGGCACCTTTAAGACCAAGTTTTATTCAGGTACAAGCTCTCCCTCCTCTGTGAGGACAGATCTGCACATCCCCCCCCCCCAATAGCTAGCAATCCAAAACAGTCCAGTGGAGCCTGAGCGGTGGGTGTTGCCTTCTGACACACTTCCGGTGATGTCAGGGGGTGTGGCATATGCAGATAAGTTATGCTAATGAGCTCCTGCACCTCTCTTTCTACGAAATGACCCCTGAGAGAAACACTGCAATTAACACTGTAACACTGTAAACATTAGTTAATACAATATGCAGAGTCTCCAAAATGAATGGAATAGGGAGCCAGATCTTCCTCTTTTGCCAAAGCAATGGGACGGGGCCTTAAAAGGTTTATACCTGCTCTCTCCATGGATCTTAAGTTGCGACTGATTCTGCATAAAATTACATTTCAGACATACTGAACACCACAGACACTTTTTAGCAAAGGACTTACAAGGACGCATCCCTTAAACATATGCTTTGGGTGTATCCAGTCATTCGTTTTTTCTAGGAAGAGTTATTAGAAGAAGAAGAGGAAGAGGAGATTGGATTTATACCCCACCCTTCACTACCCAAAGGAGTCTCAGAGCGGCTTACAAACTCCTTTCCCTTCCCTTGAGAGCCAGTTTGGTGCAGTGGTTAGGAGCGCGGACTCTAATCTGGGAGAACCGGGTTTGATTACCCACTCCTCCACGTGCACCTGGCTGGATGACCTTGGGCAAGCCTTAGTTCTGATAAGAGCTGTTCTTGAAAAAGAGCCGTTTCTGTCAAGAGCTCTCTCAGCCCCACCTACCTCACAGGGCGTCTGTTGTGGGGAGGGGAAGGGAGAGGAGTTTGTAAGCTGCTCTTAGACACTTTTGGGTAGTGAAGGGCAGGGTATAAATCCAATCTCTTCTTCTTATTCTTCTTCCCCCTCCCCACAACAGAACAGACACCCTGTGAGGTAAGTGGGGTTGAGAGAGCTCTGAGAGAACTGCCCTTGAGAGAACAGCTCTGAAAGAACTTGTAAGTGACCCAAGGTCACACCAGCAGCTCCGTGTGGAGGAGTGGGGAATCAAACCCGATTCTCCCAGATTAGAGTCCGCGCTCCTAATCACTACACCAGACTGGCTCATACCAATTTTGTATTAGAATGTTCATCGATTGCTGAGAATGCGTAAGTACTTTTAAACTGCCTGTCCGTCTCTTGGAGGCTACCTGATGGTCAACGAAAACAGACCTTCCACGTCCTTATTACAACTAAAAGACTCATATTACAACGTTGGAAAGATAAAAACCCACTGCTGATTAATCAATGAACTGAGGACCTTAGAATATCAATATTTGAGCATATAGCATATAGATAACAATTGTGTATGGACTTCTTTTTAGATATATGGAAACCGTTCATAAAAACTGATGTGTCGATCCACAACTGTTGCTATATTTTTCTCTTGTCTTTATATATACCTTTCCCCCCCTTTTTAAAAAAATTGTATTTAGTTGTTGGATTTTAAGTGTTCTCCCCTTGTTCTTTTTTTCCCCTTGTTCTTTTTCCCCCCGTTATTTTTTAAACAAATAAAAAATTTTAAACGTACACAATTGACAAAACAACGAAAACCACTTAAAATTTAGAACTGTCAGCGAGGCAGACATTTATTTATTTATTTATATTTATAGGTTTAATTTATACCCCGCCCTCCCCGCAACGCGGGCTCAGGGCGGCTTACAGTCAGGCATAAGTCAGTATCAAATATAAAACATTTTTAAAACCATTTAAAAACTCAACAGGACAATAGTATTATTATTAACAAAGTGCTCTGTTCTTCCACAAGGTGGCATATTGCAACTGCCCCGCCAGCTCAGCGTCGTCTGCTCAGGGAGACACTGGTGTTCTCTTGTCCAGGGCCAGGCTATGATGGCAGTGATAGTAGTGTGGTGGGAAACCTGTCCACTTCACACCACGGATGGGGTGGGCCCTCACATCGGGCAACTCTTCTGATCCTCTAACTGCAGCTGGACCAAAGTCTGATAAAGTCAATCAGGTGGTGAAACTGACTCTATTAGCTCCCGGTCTAGTACCGGTCATTCCTCACAGACATTAAAAAATTGTGAAAGAACCCAAGGCTGAATTGCGAAGTTATTGCTCAAAGGGAGAGGCAAGTTGTAAAGCTGGTGGTTGAATGTAAGAGGACCAATGGCCCATCTAGGCCACCATCTTGTTCATATAATGGCCAGTTTGGTGTCGTGGTTAAGTCTGCGGACTCTAATCCGGGAGAACCGGGTTTGATCCCCCACTCCTCCACTCGCACCTGCTGGATGACCTTGGGCAAGCCGTAGTCCTAGCACAGCTATTCTTGAAAAAGAGCAGTTTCTGTCAAAACTCTCTCAGCCCCACCTACCTCACAGGGTGCCTGTTGTGGGGAGGGGAAGGGAAAGGAGTTTGTAAGCCGCTCTGGGACTCCTTTGGGTAGTGAAGGGCGGGGTATAAATCCAATCTCTTCTCTTCTTCTTCAGCTCCTGTTCAGTTCTTATGGCTGATAGCAAGCACCAGACTGATTCTTCCTAAAATGTTACTCTTTTCTATTTCATATATTTGCTTCTTTTTAAAAGGACTACAGTGGAGTCGAGCAGATTCGACTCCGGTTTCTTGCATTCTTTAAAAAAAGAAACACGACTGAAAAGAAACATCAAACACAATTCCAAACATTTCCCCCAACTGGAGGAAGTGTATTAGTCCTAAGGGGCTCAAAAAAACTAAAAGAGCCCAACTGTCAGGTAGCCCTGTCATAGGTCTGGAATGTGGAGGGGTGCCCTCCCGTTTTCTGTCTCAGCTCTCCCTGGCTCACCAACTGTTTGCTTTCTTATGCTTGACCTTGTAGATGCTCCAGCTGCAGTTTTCTCGGCTGGGAAAGTTAACGGCTTTTTGCTTTGCCTGCTTGCTTTTGCCCACGCGTGCGAGATGTATCCATTGGCTCATGCTTACAGGGGGGATGTTTGATTCTAGTATAAGTCAGAGGCCCTAGTATTGGCAGCCATTCCTGACACAAGCTGTACACGTGTCTCTAGTACTGGATTTACCAATAAACAGTTATCTTCTCATGAAGCCCTGTGTTGCGTAGCCTAACTAAGGACCCTGACACCAACTGGAGTCTATCTACTCCAGCATCCCATCTCACAGAATGGCCAACCAGTTCTTCTGGAGGTGCAACAACAGGGCATAGAGGCTGAGGCCTTCCCCTGATGTTACCTTCTGGCACAGGTATTCAGAGATTTACTGTCTCTGAACGTGGAGGTTCCTTTTAGTCACCGTGGCTAGTAGCACTGATGGACCTCTCCTCCATCAATCTGTCTAACCCTCTTTAGAAGCCATCTATGCCTGTGGCCATCACTACATCCTCTGGTAGCGAATTCCATATTTTAATCACTTGTGTAAAGAAGTATTCCCTTTCGTCTTGTTAGATCTAGTTGGTGAATTCAGCAGAATCACAAAAACACACACACTGACTGTTGCGACGGTGTTGGTCCCCTTTCTAGAGTTAAGAGTAGATTTGTAAGCCATTTGAACCACAAGAAAAAGCGAGGTATAAATGTTTTAATTAATGAATTAGTAAAAAACTTTTCCAGGACACAGACCAAAGCATTTTGAACACCTATAACGACATGTGCACGATCATTTATTTTAAAGCCCCCCAAAATCCCTCTGGTGGCTGGGTGGGATGGCAGCCACAGGTGGCTGACGCAAGGATATTGCAAAGATGTCTGCCACATGAATGTTCCACTGCCACTTCCCATGCAATAAAAGCTACATGGAGAATCAGTGCTGGCTGGAACCCCCCAAGAACTTGAAAAGCCCCCACCCGTGGCCAGCCAGAGGCTTCTGCTTTTCCCGTACTCCAAACTTTGCATGGGGCACAGAGGTACCTTTCCAAACTGGGCAGGGGCGAGGCCGCTTTGGCGCTGTCGACCGGGTAGTGCTCCCGAACCGCAAACTTGACGTCATCCGCTTCATCGGTGCGAAATCTCAGGATGTTCAGGATTAGGTATTCGTGGTCAGTCAGGACAATGTTCCCCTGCGAGAAATCCAAGACATTTTGTCGCTGAACTGCGGGTGCAGAAGCTTCTATGCCACCTGAACACAGACACCTCAGGACTCTGGTGTCAGCGAGCTGCCATTGAGTGTTCTCGTTCCCTGAGTGTGTTCTCTTCCCCCCCCCCTTGCCTGCTCTGTTGTATTCTTCACATTCTTGTTTTCTTAGGTGCCTGTAACAGCTCAAGGTTACCCGGCTGGAGTGGGAAGACGAAGCCCTGTTATCTGCTCGCTTGTTAGTGATATCTTTTGCCTGTGAACCAAGGGCCAGTTTTGAGAAAGGCAAACCGTTGCATTCCCATGTAATTACCTGTCAGTGCCTTCCTTATTCGCGCCGGCGGGAAAGGGATCTATTGGTTATAGTTTGGTTCAAAGTTCCTTTATTATGTTACCCTCTGGGGTCTGTGTCCATTCCTAACAATTCTAGTGTTCCTGTTTCTTTCAAATGCTTTGGAATAAATTTTGCTTTAACCTTTAAACGTGGATTTATTTTGGAGACTTTGGAGATTCAACATCTGGCTGTTCCCACACTCAAGACTTTGGCATGCCCAAAGAAATGGGAGGTTATAGATACTTAAAGAACAGTAGAGGGCTTCCAAAGTATTCCTCCCTCCAAATGCTCCAACAACGGTGAAATAGCTTGGAGGAGAAAGCAGAGCCCTAACAGTTGGCAAACTCAGCAGAGAGAGAAATGGAGCCAGAAACTCTCTTTCCTACATGGCTTGGGACCGGGGAATATGAAGGACCGTCTTCCCCCAGATGTTCCTGCTGAGGACGTCAGATCGCAAGGGGCCCCCCCCCCCCCAACTGTCCCAACAAGCTAAGAGGTCCGTCTGGCAGGAACACGAGAAAGGGTCTTTTCAGTGACAGCCCCATGGTCAACAGAACAACCTCCTGTCACAAACACCCTCCCCTCCGCTCACCCTGTCGTACAGCTCTATGATCAAGTGATAGGCGGCTTCGTCGCTCCCAAACTGGAAATCTACTATTCTGTCAACGCCAAGTTGCTTCACGCTCACAAGCCTTCTGGTCTTCAGGTGCTTGCGACACTGTTGGGGAGAGAAGAGTACAGACACGTGTGAATGACTGCAGCCTGGAAATTATCTGTAGAGACAAAAAAATGGAAATTATCTGTACGTATAAGATTTTTTTCCCCCGGAGCTGCGGTGGCTCAAGTGGTTAAGACGCTGAACTGCAGGCTGTGGAAGGTCAGTAGTTCAGCAGTTCGAGACCCGAGTGTGCCACATGACGGAGTGAGCTCCCGTCTCTAGTTCCAGCTCCTGCCAACCTAGCAGTTCGAAAGCAAGAAATTGCAAGTAGATAAATAGGTACCACTTTGGTGGGAAGGTAACAGCGTTCCGTGCGCCTTGGTGTTTAGTCATGCCGGCCACATGACCACGGAAACGTCTTCAGACAGTGCTGGCTCTTCGGCTTGGAAACGGAGATGAGCACCGCAACCCTAGAGTCGGACTCGACTGGCTTTCGAGCAAGGGGACCTTTACCTTTACCTTTTTACATTAATTAGGCTATTTGGATTGGAGTATCCTTGAAGAAAAGTCTTGTCGTAAATGTTTATTTGTAGACAGAATCTTGTTCAGAAGACGGCATGCCGAACAGACACAAAAAGACACAGGACATTCCGGAGCACGTCGTTAACATCATTTGCTTCATTAAAAAACGCTTCTGTCTATTTGAAACTGACTGTATTTTTGTATAACACCCTTGTTAAAAAAACATATCACGTTAACTTATTTAAACAGCATATCTGTTCTGATTTTTGCAGTACAGTATTGTTTAGTTTAGCGCACTTATCAGAGTAACCATCCCGGTGTCGTGCTGCCTGGAAGAGTCAGACAGATTTTTTTTTTAAAAAACACACAGCAATGAGATCTGGCAGCTTTCCTACTGACATGTGGACACCACAACCTATGGAGGGGTTTGGAATACTTTGCCAACATCTGTCATGACAGAGGGGAAAAGGAGAGACCGAAAGAAAGAGTCAGATTAAAGCCAGACAGGAGAGCTGGCAGAAATGGAATCGAGGGCATCCGATGAAGCTGATGGGCAGGAGGTTCAGGACGCAGGTGTCCTGTCTGTACTCATCATGTTGTTCAGGCGCACAGTCGAGTCCGACTCTTCGCAACCCCCACGGACCACATCACGCCAGGCACTCCTATCTTCCGTCGGCAAACCGGAGTGTGCTCAACTTCATGTGCATTGCATCAATGACACTGTCTAGCCATCTCATCCTTTGCCGTCTCCGTCTTCTTTGACCTTCAGTCTTTCCCAGCATCAGGGTCTTCTTCTCCAGGGAGTGCTCCCTTCTCATTTGGTGGCCAAAGTATTTGAGCTTCAATTTCATTATCTGGCCTTCCAGGGAACAGTCAGGGTTGATTTCTTTTAGGATTGACTGATTTGATCTTCTTGCAGTCCAAGGGGCTTTCGAGAGTCTTCTCCAGCACCATAACTCAAAAGCATCTATTCTTTGGCGCTCGCCCTTCCTTATAGTCCAACTCTCGCAGCCATACAGTACTACTGGGAATACCATCGCTTTGACCATATGGGACATTTGTTGCCAGGGTGATTCTCTACTTTTCATTACGCTGTCTAGGTTTGCCTCATTATGGGAGCCTCGTAAAAAGTGTGCATCACATGCCTTCTGACTTTCGGTGACCCTATGAATTAATGACCTCCCAAATGTCCTCTCGTTAGAAAGAGGTTGGAGGAGAGCGTCCCATTGGACAAGATAATGCTGGTCGTAGAGCCTGTCCTGTTCTTTTTGACAGGAAACCATCGACATGCATGAGTGCTGGCGAGCAGAAGAAAGAAAAAAGCCCCAGGCTCACACCGCTGAGCAGGCAAAGGTAAAGAAGAAGAAGAAGAAGAAGAAGAAGAAGAAGAAGAAGAAGAAGAAGAAGAAGAAGAAGAAGAAGAAGAAGAAAAAGAAGAAG